CCACCTCCTCATCTCCTGTTGATTTTAAAAACCTTTAATTACAAGAATTTTTAAACAACACAGAAGTGGGGAAAACCAGACAGATTTTCATCGCAGTGTACACAATTTGCATATTGCTGCCACTATTAACTCCCAGGCCCTCACGGTCCATCTAAACACCATCTTGTCTTCCCCACGCCCCCCACCAACCCCACACTCCTTTGTAGCGAATTCCAGACACTATATCCTTTCCTCCAGCATTTTTCAGGGTGTGTCTCTAAAAAAGGACTCTTTTCTGTTTTGAAAACAAAATGCCATTATCACAGTTAAAAAATTAACAGCATTTTCTTAATGTCATCCAACAGCTCTTCAGCATTCAGATATCCCCGGTTGACTCATAGATTTCTTTTACAGTCGGCTTACTCAAATCAGTGTCAGAATTCTTTCCTGTACTTTCAGGGGGCGCTGGGATGGTAGAAGGTGAGTGTAGCTACAAATTCAGCGGTTTAAATCTCTACCCTCACCTTGAGTGAGTAACCCAAGCTCAACAAACCTCAGTTTTCTCACCGAAAAAGGGGCAAATTCTGGGTCTCTTCTGGGGCTGTTTAGAGGATCAGAGATGATTACTTGAAGCCCCCAGCCCTGTATTTAATACACAACAGATGCTTAGCAAACAGTAGCTGCTAGAATTATTCTTTCTTCTGGGAAACTCCTAAAGGGGACTTGGGCTGGAGTAGGCAAATCAGAGTTGGCAATCATCCACAAAACAAAGAGATCCTGGCAGTCCGGGCCCCCTGAGTGATTAAGACAGTACGTGCACCACATCCCAACTGGGCAGCCTGCAGTCCAGGGGGCTGGGACCTCCCAGCTGGCTCGCAACTCAGCTGCCCTACAGTAGACAGCAGCTCCTGCAAGGTGGGACCCGCCCATTACCAGTCCACTAGGCGGCGCTCTCTGTGCTGTGAGTCCAGGAGGGCCCACTACCCCAAACTCTTGGTCCCTGCCCAGCCCCTGGTGCCCCAGGGGGTTGCACGCCATTGCAGATAATTTCTAAAAAGCTTTTCTCAGTATATCAGGCAAGATACAGAGGTTTTCTCCCTGTGTAAATCCCAGCCTGACCACAGACACAAGGGGGACGAACATCTCAATCATTCGCTCAGGTCAGGCACTGGTATGTCCATGCTTTCTTTACATCCTCGCCCCAGCTACATCTGATTTCCCTTCATTTTTCAGATGAGAGAACTTTGAGAGTTTAGTGACTGATCCAAGATCAGATAAGAAGCAGGACCCAGGATTCCAACCCAGGTTTGTGTGTTTCTTCTGCATGGTGGGGAGGTGGAAGGATGGTTTTTAAGTCTGCTGGCTGGATGGATGGATGCCTGCATCAGGATGCAGCTGTAGAGAGAGAGAGGCCAGCTGGCTGATGAAGGCTGGTGAGATGGGCGAGTAAATTAAAGTGTGGAGGGTGGATGGATGGATGAATGAGAGAGAACAGGCAGTTTCTCACCGAGGTCGGAGGCTCACTTGATTTGTGAAGAGAGGTTTCCTCTAAGTGGAGCTTGCTGATGAAACTCCTGCCTTTGGTCCTGTCTCTGAGCATACTCACCAGCTCAGGTGGCTCTGGGACAACAGGTGGGCCACCGGCTCGTAGGGACCAAGTCCTAGCTCTGGTGTTAGAGCTGCTCAGTAGCAACTCTAGGTGTCAGCTGCTTTCACGCTGCACCGAGAAACAGACGGCCTCCTTTCCACTGACTCTCCTGGATGACTAATCCCTAAGCCTAACGGCATGCTCAGTCATTTTCTGGTCCCTTGGCAAAGTTTTCTGTCCTCTAAATCATCACAACCACCCTCCATGATAGCAGTCCATCCTCAATTAAGATAAAAGGAAACTATAGTTTAGAAGTGGTAAGTGACTTGCCCCAAATCCCAGAGGGAGCAGATAGAGAGCCAGGATTTGAACCCTAGTCTGCTTTTCTTTCAAACCTACACCCTTGTCCTGCTTTGTTTTCTCTATGATCGTGCATGAAAAATTCTGTGCTCCTTGGGGTTGGCTCACCCAGGTCAGACTCACCCTCCTGGCCCGTCAGGGAGCTGGCTTTCTTACCCCCAGACTTTAAATTATTTCTCAAGTAACACTTTCTCTAGTTTATCCTATTTGTGACTATCACACATGCAGGGGTCCAATGTATCACTGACATCCTGCTGTACAATTACCAAGTTATGTTAAGTCTCTGGGAGCTCAGATTATGTCTGAATGTGAAGAGAAGCACGTGTAGACTCTAGAGCCTGAAGGGGTGCAAGGCAAGGAGAGAGGGAATCAGACAGAGGGCCGAGGGGCAGTTCAGCAAGCCTTCCTGAAGACCTGGCTTAAACTCAACAGATACGTTTTGATAATGTGCTTATGGGCTAAGCCCCGTTACACACATGCCGGATGCTCAGATTTCAATCCCATTCACTAGTTTTGTGAGTTCAGACAGAGTATGTAACTCCTGTGCCTCAGTTTCCTCAGCTGTAATATGGGGACACCGACAGTACTTTATGAATTAAGGATTCATACTTGAGGATTAAATGAGTCAAACATTTAAAGTGTTTAAGTCCAAGTTTCCCATATTGGAAGGATACAATAAATATTTCATTTTAATTAAAATTATAATTGTTTTAACTGTTTTCATTGAGATGGGATTTAACATCTCTGATTGGTAAGAGCCGTTTCCCATATTTTGCAGGTGGCTGAGCAGGTGTTCGTAGAGGTGTATGAGTTTGCCCTTGAGACGGAGTCAGTGAAGTAGAAAAACAAGTATAGATTTAAGACCAGAAGATTTTGGTTCATGGAAACAAGAGTTATATGCACCAAATGGGCATAATCCACCTTAGGAACGATTAAGCCCTGGAAAAGGAGAGACTCCCCCAGAGGGACTTTCTTGAGGGTGTTGAGAGTTTTTAGGGAGGTTGTATGAGAGCTGAGAAGAAGCTGAGTAGGTGAACGGCAAGATGAACAATTAACATTCTCTTGGTTCAACTCATGGCCTCTGGAAGCAGCAAGCAAGCTTCCCGAGTTCCCACATACGCTGTCGCCAAATTTCTTTCCCTACCTGTTTTTTCTGGGGGGGGTGGAGACTAGAAAATAGCCACGTTAGACATGTTTCCTGTTTGGTCTTTTGAGGGTGGCCAGTTGGAACAAAGAGTTGTTCCAGCTGAGTCTCACACCATGTGGGGCATGAGGACTGGGTCTCCTCCTCTCGTTCCTGGGCAGAGCATTTGCAACCGAAGCCTCGGTGGCATGTGGCTGTGTGTTGGGGTGGCACCGGGGAGGGGGGTGCGTCTGGATGCCCTGGAAGCCAAGTGGCAGGAGATGGGTTTAACATCTGTGCCAACCTGATGGGCCATGTTGGGTGCATGCTATGACCCAGCATGACCTGATCCCAGAATCTGTGCAAGTCCTGCAGGAACTGTCACCACCGCGTCTCTTCCAAGAGAGACAGTCTGCTTATTCATCGAGCACTGCTGGCACACCCGAGGGTGCCCTGTGCCCCTGGGACTGCTTGTGTGGGGGGCAGACAAGCCCTCCGGATCGCCCACACGTCCATTCATTCACCACTCACCTCGTAGGCTGGCAGCAGGGTATCAGAGAGCAAGGACTGCTACAAAAATGAGGCACTGGGGCCAAGTGGGTGAGAGACAGTGGAGCCAGACTTCCCACGTTTGCCACCCAGCTCAGCGTCTTCCTAGCAGTGTGCCCGCTTACAAGTCACTTACCTTCTCGGAGACCCAGTTTCCTCGTGTGTAAAGTGGGGCTGTGTCTCTGCTCCAGTGTCACACTCTCAGGGAAGCTCTCTCGTTGTTGTCCGTCAGCCCCTTCCTGCCTCATTCTCTCCAGGCCCGCATCACCGGCTTGTACCCCGCGTGTTGTACGTACTTGTTTCGAATGTTGCCTGCTTCTGTCTCCGCCCGGAAGGATGTTGGCTCTCAGGTTTTGTCTGTTTTGTTCATTGCTGTCTCCTCTGGCACTTAGACCAGTGCCTGGCACAAAATGCATGCTCAGAACTATTTTGAGGGGAAAAAAAGAGAGCGACGCAGTCGGTTTGTCCCCGCCCCAGAGGACAGTCAGTGCACGCAAAGCAGACAGCATAGTGACTGGTGGAGAGCACTCATTCAATAAATATTGGCTAATTATGATTATTATGTCCTATTCACAGGACTGTGGTGCGGATCAAAGGAGATAATGTATGCTCAGGCATGCTGTGGACGCGATGTGCTGCGTACAGGAGGTACAGCATTAATGAGCCTCTGCTGCTTCGAGGGAACCTGCACTTAAACTTTATGCTTTTCATTTTCATACCACCTGGGAGGGAGGGGAGACTAACAAGGTTCCTGCCCCCTGAGGCTCAGCATGGGGAGGGACTGGCCCCGGGCCCCACCGTGGGGTGAAGGCAAAGGCAGGGGCCTGGGAGGGGGTCCCCAGCCTAGTGGTCTTTCCGTGACTCCCTTCTGGAGTCCCCACGGGGGCCTGTTTGGGGATGTGTTACACTATATACGCATCTTTATAGTATATGCATGTTTTAAACTTCATTTTTTATTTTTCGTGTCTCAGAGTTGCTCTGAAGCCGCGTGCTAGGCACCTAGAAGGCCAGTCTGGGAGGGTAGGAAGGCAGCTGGCTGCATCTTCCCCATCAGAGTCACACTAGAGGCCTTTCTGGCTTCTGGGAAACAGTTTGAACATCAAGGATCCCAGGGCACAGACTCCCCCAGAAGGCGGCCCTGTTTCCTGAACTGGACTTTAGTTTTCCCGAGTGCACCCCTTACCGGATTTCTGTTTTCCAGGGCACTTGCTTAAGCTTTGATGCCAGGTCCCCAAAAAGGAGTAGATCCCAGCACTTTCCTGCCCAGTGCCCCTCCTTCCCGACTCCCTTGGCCTGACTGTGGCGATCATTCATGTCTCTAGTCAGACTTCGGGGTGGTTGCTGTTGGACCCGCGGGTGGGCGGCACGGGGGAGGGGAGGGGAGGGGCCGGGGGAGCGCAGGGTGGGAGCTGCAAAACGCACCCTCACGTTGGACCCACGAGGGTGTTGCTGGCCTCAGTCGACAAATCGCACAAGTCGGGGCACAAGGCAGAGAAGCCAGGTCACGTCTCTGCAGTTACACCGCTCACGAGTGCCTGCTGGGGTGGAACCTGGTCTGTCTGTCTGTCTAGCACCAGAGCTCGGGCGCTGCTGCAGAGGGAAGAAAGATCTGGGTGAGGGGCTCAGAGCCAGGGCGGGGAGGGGCTTTACCTGGCTGCACTTTGGCATGGAAATGATAGCTAATTATGCTCAGGGACTAGTGCTGTGACCATCTTACAGGTGGGAAGACAGGCACAGAGAGGTTAGTTCACGTCCCTGATGCGGCCCAGCTAGTCAGGCTTTGAGGCTGGATTTGGAGGCAGGCCGTGTGGTGCCAGCACGTGTGCTCTGACCATTGGGCCACGGTGCCTCGTGACTGCGCACAGGGAAACACGGTAGAGTTCAAGGATCTGGGTTCGAGTCCTACTGCCCCCACCCCCCCGCCGGTGGGTGTGCTCTGAAGTCAATCATTCGTGTTTAATTCTGCCCCCTCGACAGAGGCCCTGCAGAGGCCCACCAGCCACAGAACTGCGCAAAATATTTTTTTAAGAATATATATGTGATAAACATTTTATACGTGTAGAAGGGGAAGGGACAGAGGGAGATTTGGAAGTGATTACTTCTGCTAGAGGGCAGCGAGGGGAGCAGAGGGAGGAATGCAGGTGGGGGCCGCGGGGTTACCGCACCGCTCCTAACAGCCAGTGAAAGGAGAGAAGCCGGCTGCCGCAGTGATGAGACCCCGTCAGGAGCCAAAGGTTGTGATTGATTCCCCATCACCCAGGGACATGGAAAAGGAGACCAGAGTGGTTTGTCGTTCTTAATTTTATTATTAAAAATAATAACAGAATAAAGCAATAACGTAATAATGGCCTTGAGTAGAGCAATTGTGAGAATGTGTTTGGGACTAAAGAGTATGATTAATCTGGGTCGGCTAACCTGACATTAACATCGCCAGAACGTTCTGGGTTATTTTCTTCCTTTCAGTGGGGCTTTGTGTTCCATAGAAGGGGCACACTGGGGGTCCCCTGCCAGAGAAGATCTTGGCCGTGGGGAAGGAAACTGCAGACAGGTAGAAGCGGGGGGTCACGGGTGTTCACTGAGTCGTTGAAAATGAATGAATGCACAAGGAAAGTTAAAGTGTGCCAGACGTGCATCAGTGATGGGGATGTGTTTTTAAATAAGTGCTAGGAGTAATCCAGGTCCGCCCACGAGAGTCATTAAAAATAGCAAAATAAACTTCAGTAAGTTCCAGGCTGTTGGGGCTGGGGGTCCTGGGCAGAACGATGTGTTTTTGCTGTGGAGTTAAAAGTGAGCTAGATGAGAAAATGCAATGCGTGACAGAATGAGGGAGGAAGAGGAGTGGACCACCAAAATAACGTTTTATAAGTTATGGGTTAAGGTAAGTCTACCTCTGTATAACTATGGCCTATTTAAAGAAATTTTTTTTTGGGGGGGTAGTTAGGTTTATCTATTATTTTCTTAGGAGAGGAACTGGGGATTGAACCCTAGACCTCATGCATGCTAAACATGCACCCTCCCACTTGAGCTATAACCTCCCTCCAGTTGTGGACTATTTAAAATGACAAAACAAGAGCCACCACCCCTGGTTAAGAAACCTGGGTATGCATGTACTGACCGGTATTTTTGTTGTGGGTTAGTGCTGAGGTCCTCTGTGTTTACTGCATTTAAAAAAATAAGTAAAAGCAATAAAAAGGACAAGTAGGAAACAACAGTGAGATTACATCTGGAATCAAAGATTGTTATTGCTTCAGTTTTGTGTATCTGAGCCCATCAGGAAGAAGTCTGGGCTGGTTCTTCTGTAAGAAGCATGGAGAGCAATGCTTGGAATAGTTACTCTTCTAGTTCTAGATGAGGGTGGTGAATTCATGCATGTTTATTGTAATAAATAAAATTATTAACTGAAAAAATGTATACAGTGGGAGCTATGCTTGAGCCAGTGGTGAGACCAACATGAGCCAAAGCTTGTGATTAATCCTGTGTGGCTCACCCAATGGCCGTTAGGAAATATCCTGCTTGTTTCATCTTTTTAAATATCTGCCTTGTGTTCTACAGAATGGAGGCCCCGGAGTGGGTCTAATGACACTGTGTTGATAAAGATCTTGGCTGTAACCTCTGTGAGAAATGAGCCACGGACCACCAATGTGAGTGATGGTTAGTGTTGCTTTATGGTTGGGTGGTTGGTTGATGGGTGTGTTATGCGTTATTAAACATGAACGGGCACAAATAAAATCCAAGATGGCCAAGCACAGACCAGTGATGGGGGTGTCATGAACCGAGGCTGATGAGTCTCATTTGACTTAACTGTTGCTTAATTAAAAAATAATGTAACGGGCCTGTTCTCTGTGTAGGGAATCTGCAAATAAAAACAATTATATAAGAATCATTATATTAATTTGACATTCATATATATGTAATGACATTTTACATTTATTATATATATGTTTATGTAAATATAATTGGTACTTTTTCTTATTCTTAGGGTGAATGGTGAGTTCATGTACGTTTATTGATTTATTAAAAAGAAATGGATAAAATAACAAAATAAATAAAATCAAAGAGGGTCAAGGTCAAGCATGGACTAATGAAGATGATGTATCATGATCCAAGATTTATGATTACACAGTTCTGCAAATTTGAGGGACATTAAAACAAAAATATCTACCCTATTTATTTTATTTTAATGGCATCTACTATTGATTTATACTGTATGGTTTGTATAAACAGTTTTCTATTGATGAAATTTAGGCTGTGAATTCAGTGAGAGACGTGCACATAGAAACATAAGGAATTGGTAGTTTTTTAATATGTTGGGTAAGATTCATGGGTATTCTTTTATGATTTCTTAAAGGGGTAAATACAATTAAACAGGGCCAAGCACAGACCAGCGAGGATAATGCTTCATAAACCAAGGCTGATCAATCCAGTTCCACGCTACTGAGAGCTGTTAAAAGCGATCCAGGCCGTGCATTTTTTCAAACAGTTGCTTTCTGTTCCACAAAATAGACACATCATCTTTTATTTAGTCGTGCTGTGTTTATAAGAACTTTGACTCTTCTTTGGGTGGATAAGGGAAAGGAAAGGTAATAGTTGATGTTCTTAAATCTTTGGCTGGAAGGTTGTTCAAGGGTGTTTACAAGTAAATATATGAATGAATGAACAAATTAATAAACAAAACAAGAGAGGGCAAAAATGGGCCAATGATGATAGTATCATAATCCAAATTTAATATTGTAGTAATTCTGTACCTCCAAGGTCCATTTAAAGTATGTGTTGGTTAGAGAGTAAATATTCTTGTTTTTGCATGGTGGTGTGTTGGGTGTTGATTTCAGCACTAAGAAAATGCTTACGTCAATGTATAAAATACAAGAAGAGACAAAACCTAGACTAGCAATGAAATGGCCCAAGGATGAAGGATTATGGTTAGTTGAGTCCCATGCTCCCGACTGGCTTAAAGACAACCTAGCCTGTTTCACTCCTTTTTCCAGCTGTTTTGTATTTCATGGTGTAGTTGTACACAGTCTATTTAAATATTCCTTCATGGATAAAGATCTAGGCTCTGTGAGCAAGAAGCAGAAAGAGAGATAGAAGATAATGTCAGTGTTCTACCTGTGGGGTAAGAGATTGGATTTATGGTTGCTTATTAAAATCTCTCTGAAGTGATGAAATCACACAAGAGAGAATCGGCATAGGCCGATGATCAAAAATTATGATTAATCCAATTTAGTTTCATTAGAAACAGTTCTAGACAATTACCTAAGGGTAAAGAGCATATGCTAACACTGTCCATTACAAATTTCTGTAATGACGGACGTGGTCTGTAATTTGTTCTGTTCAATATGGCAGCCACTAGCTACGTGCGACTACTGAGCACTTGAAATGTGGATGCTGTGCATGAGGAACTGAATTTTCAACTTTAATTTATTTCTATTAATTTAAATTTAAATAGTCATATGTGGATAATGGTTCCTCTATTAGTTGCATTGGACAGTTGGTTAATGAGAGTTTCTCGAACATTAGATATGAATAATTAAATACATAAATTAATAAAAGAGGGTTAATTATGGGCCAGAGATGAGTATGTACCATGAGAAAAAGATTATAATTAATCCAGTTCTGCACAACTGAGATTCACTGGCAAAAAAGTCTTTGGTTCATGAAAAATAGACGTAGGATTATTCATTTATCTCATCGACTATTTAGTATTATTTTGTGAATGTGTGCCTCATAGTTTATGCGAACGTTTCTCTAATGTTGAAGACCTATGTATTTTGGTGGGAGAGGATCAAAAATTTATTTTCAGAGTTATAATTTTGTGTTGAATGGAGGATTTGCAGATACTCATATATTATTTACTTCAAAAATTGAATAATACATAGTAGAGAGTCCATGCAAGGGTGATAACATGGCGTGTACCAAGGTTTGTGATTAATACAAGTCACCACAAATCTTGCCCATAAATAAGAGGTCTCTTACATTCGTCAGTGAGTAACACACAGACAGATGTAACTAATTGTCAATATAGTTACAGGACTAAGAGGGACCAATCAAAAAAGTGTATCATGAACCAAATATTTGTATTAATACATTAAAAATTTTTTATTTATTTTTTATTTTGGGGGGAGGTAGCTCGATTTATTTGTTTTTTTAGAGGAGGCACTGGGGATTGAACCTAGGACCTCATGCATGTTAAGCGTGCGCTCTGCCACTGAGATACACACGCCCCCCTGTAGTAATACATTTTTGTACAACTGCAGCTTATTTTATAGAGGTCTTTTGTTTCTCTCTATTTATGGGTAAGAATTAGCAAGATCTAGCTGTCATTTATATTCATACATACTATATATCCATACATTTATTTATATGGATAAAATTTTACAGTTTTTCTTAGACTTGATAGTACATTCATGGTGATTTCATTGACTGTATTATAAAAAAGACAATAAATGAATAAATTCTTAAAAATTAGAGGAAGGAAATGTATGAGTTAGTCATTACTGTGACAATGCTACTTAACAAGTAGATTTGTTTTTTGGGGGGAGAATTATGTTTGTTTGATGTTTATTAAATGGAGGCACTGGCGATTGAACCCAGCACCTCATGTCTGCTGGGCATGCGCTCTGCCACTGAGCTCTACCCTTCCCCCGCTGCATAAAATGTAACCCACAATTTCAGTGGCTCCCAAACAGCAATGGCTACAACAATACAATGTTTATTTCTCACCTATGGGTCTGTGGGTTTCTTACAGCAGCTGTGCTCAGGCTGTGGCTTGGGTTCACGTCTGCCCACCTTGCCTTCTTGTTCAAGGCCCCCAGATAAAGGAGTTGTAAGGTCTTACAGGGAAAGCTTGGAGTTCCAGAGGCCAGGAAACCCCAGCCCCCACGCACGTTTAAAGCCTCTGTTTGGACATGGTTTAAGTCACATCCGTTCCCACGTCGTTGGGCAGTGCAGGTCAGACGGCACAACACCGGTGGTGTGGCGAAAGCTACGCTTCCCACAGAGGACAGGGAAGGGAGAGGGACTATGTGCTGAAAAATGACATAACCTAGCACATTTCTCCCAATTGTTCAGAAATAGGTACTTCGTGTTCTTACATGAAATACAGCCATGCTCTCTTCCAAACATCCCAGAAGTCTATAAAACCAGTGCTTCCCTTCACAGTCCAGAGCATCATGGTTCACTTCTGGTTTGGATGTGACTCTTCTTTATTCAGGGACTTAGAAACTAGAGGTGAGTTATCTGTCCCTACATGGTAAACATACTGTGTTGGGACCCCTCCCACTCACAGAGGGAGAGAAGGGGAAGCACAGCAGTCCGCTCCCTTGCAGCTCTGGGCCCTGCTGGGCCAGTGACGTGTGCTCTCCTGCCGGGAGCTGTCACCGTCTAGGAGGGAGAATGAAGGCATGTTGGTAACGGCCACCATTTGTATTTTTCTTGGAGGTGATCAATTCACTGGTGTTCATTGAAATAACAGTGTCAAGGACTGTGGTAAATTTCATAACTAACATTCGTTTAAAATGTTTAAACCTACTATGGTTCCCTCTTTTGCATACCTGATTTCTGTTCGGCAGAATGCGTGCACTAGAGCCGACGCGCCGTTCTGTGCTGATGAAGGACTTCGCTCTTTACGTTTAAGTTATAAAGCAAATATTAGCATAAATCCATTCTTCATTGCTGGTGTCCATAGAAAGCACATGAGGACTAAGCTGCAGCCTATTTGTTTACCCTTAAATGAATATTATAAATTTGTGAATTTACTCTTTCTTTAAAGTTGAAGTATAGTTGATTTAAAATATTATGTCATTTTCAGGTATACAGCTAGTGATTTAGGGTTTTTGTAGATTATACTCCATTATAAGTTATTAGAAGATAATGACTATAATTCCCTGTACTATACAGTATATCTTTGTTGTTTCCCTATTTTATAAATAGTAGTTTGTGTCTGTTAATCCCATGCCCCTAACTTGTCTTTCCTCCTCGCTCTCTCCTTTGGGAACCACAAGTTTGTTTCCTGTGCCTGTGAGTCTGTTTCCGTTTTGTACATACATTCATTTGTATTATTTTTTAGATTCCACATATAAGTGATATGTAGTATTTGTCTTTGTTTGTTTGTTTTCTCTAAAGATTATTTTAATATTGACATTTTTTAAAACATCTTTTATTGATTTATAATCATTTTACAATGTTGTGTCAAATTCCAGTGTAGAGCACAATTTTTCAGTTATACATGAACATATATATATATTCATTGTCACATTTTTTTCTCTGTGAGCTACCATAAGATCTTGTACATATTTCCCTGTGCTATACAGTGTAATCTTGTTTATCTGTTCTACATTTTGAAATCCCAGTCTATCCATTCCCACCCCCCGCCCCCTTGGCAACCACAAATTTGTATTCTATGTCTATGAGTCTGTTTCTGTTTTGTGTTTCTGTTTTGTATTTCTGTTTTTTTTTTTTTAGATTCCACATATGAGCAATCTCATATGGTATTTTTCTTTTTCATTCTGGCTTACTTCACTTAGAATGACATTCTCCAGAAACATCCATGTTGTTGCAAATGGCGTTATGTTGTCAGCTTTTATGGCTGAGTAGTATTCCATTGTATAAATATACCACATCTTCTTTATCCAGTCATCTGTTGATGGACATTTAGTCTGTTTCCATGTCTTGGCTAGTATTTGTCTTTCTCTGACTTATTTCATTAAGCATAACATTTTCAAGGTCCATCCACATTGCTACAAATGGCATTATTTCATTGTTTTTTATGGCTGAGTAATATTCCACTATATATCTCTGTGTGTGTATATGTATACACACACACACATATCACATTTTCTTTATGCATTTGTCTGTTGATGGGCACTTGGGTTGCTTCTGTGTCTTGGCTATTGTAAATAGTGCTGCTATGAATACTGGGGTGTATGTATATATTTAAAATATTTTATTTATTATTGTATTATTTTATTTTGGTCAGGGGGGTAGACAATTAGGTTTATTTATTTTTGGAGGAGGTTCTGGGAATTGAACCCAGGGCCTCATGCATGATAAGCATTCACTGTACCACTTGAGCTATACCCTCCCCTCCAATTTCTTAAAATAGTGTTTTTGTTTTTCTGGATATATACCCAGGAGTGAAATTGCTGGAGGTTATGATAGTTCTCTTTTTAGTTTTTAAGGAACTTCTGTACTGTTTTCCATAGTGGCTGCACCAATTTGCATTCCCACCACATCATTTGCAGCGTTCGTTATTTGTAAACTTTATGATGATAGCCATCCTGACAGGTGTGATGTGATGTCTCATTGTTGTTCTGATTTGCATTTCTCTAATAATTAGCAATGATGAATATCCTTCCATGTGCCTGTAAGCCATTTGTATGTGTTCTTTGGAAAAATGTCTGTCCAGGTCTTCTGCCCATTTTTTGATTAGGTTGTTTGGTTTTGATATTGAGTGAGTTGTGTGAGCTTATATTTACTCTTGCTAAATTGTCTTCTAAAATATATATATAGAATTAAATTAATTCATGATTAATCAAATTAAACAATATATAATCGAATAAACAAATACATAAAAAGGGTCAAGAATAAGCACTAGTGAAATGTGCCGTGAAACAAATTTTAGACTCATCCAACTTTGAACAAGTGAGATCCATTAAGAAAAGATAAAAGAGAGTGCTTTGTTCATTTTATAGTTGATTTAATATTTCATTTTATTTTTAACCACTGTTGATTTACATATTCTACCCGTGATAAAGATTTAGATTTCTAATCTGTTGAGAGGTAAAACACAAAGAAAGATGGAAAATTGTTAGTGAAGTGAAATGAGATGTTCCTGGATTTTTGTTTCATATTTAAAATTTGAATTAATTAATGAAACACTAAGGAAGGAGCACCAGGCGTGGCCACGGCGCGCGTGGGCTCACAGGCAGACCTTGACTGATCCGCCTGTGCAGCAGTGGGGCCCACTGCAGACACAGTGTTTTAGTTCTGGGGGAAAGTAGCAACAAACAGAAGTGGGTAGTATTCTTAGATCTTATTCTTTCTTTGTTGTGATTAATGGATATTGATTATATAATTATAGTCAATCAATGAATGAATTAATAAACAAATGTATCAATGAATAAAAAACAAAGCCCCAAGCCTAGATCAATGATGAGTACTCTGAGGTGTCTGAACCAAGGATTTTGATTAAACTGTGTAACTGAGAGGTCGATATAAAAACAAACTTAATTTCCTGTGTTGGTGGGACATGAGCCTATAGCTGAAGTTAGGGATACAGGCATTTTGCTTTTGGCTTTGGTAGATCTTAGGTATTGACCCTTTTATTAGTGAATCAGTGCATGAGTAAATAAAGAAACATATTAATGAGTGAAAACAAAAAGGGTTAGATAACCACCAACAATGAGAGTATGTAATGAGATAGAAAATATTTTTAAACATTTCTGAGGAGTTGAGTTCCAGTAAGTGAGGGGTCCAAGGCTTTTTCCATGTTGATCAGGAGCATATGGGCAGCTATACCTAAGAGTCATGTTGTTCCAGGATCGGTGGTTGTTAATTTTCTTAAGAATCCTATTAAGAAAGGGGAAAAATGGAAACATGACAGTTAATTACAGAACTACTTAAGTAAAGATGGCCAAGCCTGGGTCAGTATTAAAAGTCCATTATACGACAGGAGTTGTGATTAAATCAGTTCTTCTCAACCAGTATCATTTTTGAAAACCATACTTAGTTGTCATTCTGTGGATATTAAGTTTACGGGCAGATGTCAGTGTTGTTTAGGATTCTTGCTGGGGGTACGTAGGTTCACTAGTATCGATAATACTACTGCAAGTCAATGAGCGAAGAGATTATTTAAAAGCACAAAAATGGGCCAGTGAGGATATTAGATCATTAAAAATAGTTTATTAATCTCACTGTACTCTTCCGATATCCTTATACGGATATACATAAAAGGAGATTGGGCTCTGCCCACTTTGGGTAAAGAACATAGAGGTCATTACCTATAATAGTATTTTAAGCCATTTTGCATTTGCTTTGAAAAAATAAAAATATGAACAAGTTAGTCCATGAATAAATAAATAAAAAACAAATAAACTAATACATTCATAAAGTAGGGTCAAGCATGAATCATTGGTGAGAATATCTCAAGAAACGATGTATGTTTACCTTATTCTAATCAAGGAAAACCCATTAAAGAAGGTAATCTGGACTCTTACCTATGTGGGTGGGGTTTAATAGAATTTGGAGTAGGCATCATTCTTGATTCTTGCACTAGGACGTGGATTTAGCAGTTGTCATTATATTACATACATGAATAATTAAAGAAAATAAAAAGAGGCCCATAGCTGTGATGAAAACATGGTTTTATGATAAATCTGGTACAGCAAGGCTAAAGTCCCTTAAAAAAATCTAAATCTACACTACCTTTTCAATTTTCTAAAATCTTTTTTTTACTCCACAGACTCAGTATATCCAATCTGATTTGCTCATTGCCAGTGATGAAGATCTTGGCTGTCACTTCTGTGGATGAAGAGCTAAGGGCCTCATGTAAGTAACGGAATTTGTGTTCTTGGTTTCGAGGTTATTCATGTGGTCCATGGAATGATTTCAAAGGAATGAGTGGTTACTGAAAACATAAATAAAATCAAAGGCTGCCACGTGTGGACCACTACTGAGCATGTGTAACGAACCATGGATTAAAATTAATCTATTTTAGTACAACTGAGTGCCATTAAAAACAAAGTTGGAGGGTTTTGCATTCCTTTTCACAGTCGCTTAATATTTCATTTTATTTTGCACCATATCTTAGGATTATTTATTGATAATGATCTAGGTTGTTAAGTCATTGAAGACAGAGCACGTAGGAAGATAGAAAGTATTGTCAGTGTTCTAGTTGAGGGTAAGATGGTAGGTTCATTGTATTGTTTTTAAAATATGAGGAAATTAAAGAGAGCAAGCAGAGAGTGGTGAAACACACGGGATGGATATAAAGCAAAGTTATGGATTAAGCTATATGTGCAACTCTGAGCTCCAATTAAAAAGAGATCTCATTTGCCAGCTCTGTGGGAAATAAACAGCTTCAAACAGCTCTGCAGTATTCAAAGATCTCGCTCTTGGGTTTTTATGATTCATGGAAACTATTATTTTTTTAATCAATGAAACCATGAATGAAATAATCAGTAAATAATACAAAACAATCCATACAATATGTATAAATAAATCAATGAAGAAAAAGAGTGTTGAGCTTGGATCAGTGATGTGATTTCTGGGGTATATGAATCAAGAACTTTGATTAAACCCTAACACTGAGGTCTATTAGAAAGAGACGTAGTTTTTCCCTCTAAAGGAGTAGAGTTCAGAGCAGAAGTCCAAGCCACCTGGGTATGTGTTCTTGGGTCTCAGTGGTTTCTGGGTGCGGAATATATGGATAGATGTAAGTGAATCAATGGATACATGAATGAATAAATGTGTAAACGAATGAAGACAGAAGGGTCATCCATGGGTGATTTATGAGAGTGTCATGAAACAGGTATTGTTAGTAATATATTTATGTAACAGAGTTCCGATGTAGTGCATAGGTGAAAGCTATTACCCCCTTTGAAGCACAGTAGGAATTCTAGACTCATCAGAGCATACAGACAGATGCATCCAAGTGTCCATGTTGCCATTCTGTGTTGATCATAGGTTGATATGGTCATTTATCTTTGTGGGTAATGAGCCTATGGGCAATTATTAGCATTTTTATGTTCAAGTAAGTATAAGGTGTGTAGATTCTCAGGTAATTATATATTGTTAAAAGTTATTGAATACATATGATTTTACCTCAAATGATTATTTAAAGGAGGGCAAACTATGGACAGTATGGAGCATGTGATGTGAAATAAGGTTAATGAGTAATCCTGCTCTCTCCTGCTGATGTACATATGAAAAAAAATGGAACCTAATTTCTCCCCACTTGGATTAAGTACATAGAGACATGTGCATATCATAATAGTATTTCAGTTCTGGGTTTCATTTGAGACTTTATTATTTTACACATATAATTTTATTATAGTTTATATTTGTAATAAATATTTTATAAGGTATAATATTATTATATTTAATATTTGAGCAATATATTTTATATATTTATTATAAATTATATATATATTTAGAAAAATAAATGGATGATCAGATTGTTCCACTGAAAATTAAGTAAATAAATGAAAGAATCTGTGAAGTCATAAAGTAAGATAAAGCTAGAATTATTGGTGAGAATGTGCCACGATACTAGATTTTAAAGCTACCCAATTCTGCAAAGTAAAATTCATGAAAGTGATTGGTAAGGTGTTAATTGTTTTCCCTGCAAGAGTAAGGAGTACACATCCACACACCTGCAGTAGTTAAAAGTCTTATACTTGAGTTGGGTGTTGAATTCTATAATGCTTATTACTACCTAGCTTAAAAATAAATTGATAAATAGAAAGGAGTGCAGTTTTTGCACCAGTAATGAGAATGTGATATGATCCAAATTTATGATTAATCTGGCAGTGCAGAACTCACATCCATTTAAAAACATCTAATATAGACTGTTAAGAATTGGCTTTTTTCTTTATTGCGTGAACACACCACAGTCAACTCAATCATTCTCTAATGACTTAGCAACAATCATTCATCTTGTTCTTGGCATTTATGACTCATGGGTATTGATGAGATTATAATTTATGCAAGTAAACATGGTCCAGAAAGGAAGATATGACTGAAGAAGCCCCCCAAAAATGCCAAGTCTGGATCAATGATGACTCTCCTAGGGTGTTTGAATTAAGGATTCTGATTAAACTCTATAACTTTGAGGTCATTATAAGAAGAGATCGAGTTATTCCCTCTCTGGGAAAGGTGCGTGCGGCATGAGAAGGGAATATTCAGTATCCTGTTTTTAGGCTGTATGTTCCTTGTGTATGGATTTTTTTTTGTAAATGAAATAATGCATGATTAAAGAAAGACGTGAACAAATGGATGAAGACAAGGAAAGCCGCTGTTCAATTATGAGAGTATGTTTTCAAATATTTCTGAAGCATTAAGGTCTAGGAAAATAAATATATCAAGGTTTTACCTCTTTCAGCAGAGAGCAAATAGACAGGTATGCCCATGAACCAATGTTGTTATTACGGACTGATGGTGGGTTGCTGATTATTTATTTTATTAAGAAAAGGGCAAAATGTTTGCACAAGTAATTAGACATCTAATTGCAAAAAAGAACAGTCATGGACCAATGATGAGAATATGTCCTCTAACAGGAGTTATGATGAATTTAAGATGGTTTACTGTGAGGATATGATCACATGTTAATATTACTGAAAAAGTTTTGTCCAGTGAGTTATAATTATAATGATAACATATTATAATTATATTTTGTTATTAGTGAATGAATTAATAGATTTTTACTTAATAGAATATTTTACTTAAAAGATGCAAATCACATACCAATGAGGAGCTTTATTATGAAATAAGGACAATTATTATTCTGTTTTACACAGTTGGTTTCCATACGTTAAAAAAAAAGCAAGGCTTTTCTGATTTTGCATAATGTGCACATAGACAGACACACGTAACAGCATTTTGTTTCTTGATTACTGACCATTTTAGTGTTTTCCCTTTTCTTTATGTAATGAACAACTGGTGAACTTATTCCATGGGTGATTTAAATGAATGAATGATTGAGTGAATGAATACATAAAGCAGAGTCAAGCATGGCCATGGAACAAGGATAAAAATTTATCAGTTTGCACAAGAAAGAGCCATTAAAAAAGGATGATCTAATTTTACCTATGTGAAGGTGAAGTTCTGACTTGTGGGTTAGGTAGTGGATTCAATGGTGTTCGTTATATTGCTTAAACTTAAAATTAAATACTTGAGTAAATAAAAAATAGCGATAGTCTTAGGCCAATGAAATGAAAGAAGTTTTAGGTCTAATCGAGAACTCCACAATTAGTATCCTCTAAACATACCGAAATTTAATACCGAATTTTAAGGCCTGGTTTTCCCCTCAGAATTAACACACCATCGCTGATTTCATCCTCTAAAGTTGAAGAGTTTGGCTGACACCTTTCTGAGTAAGAAGCAAAATACCAAGGTGAGTAACATTCAAAGTTTATGTTCTGGGTTAGGGGAATTTGTTCATGGGTGTTCACTGAAATATTTCAAAGTAATGAATAGCTACAAAAAGTACAAAAATAAAGAGTGCTGTACCTTACCAGAGACAGGAATAGCCTATGCAGCACAGATAATGATTCTGCACAGCTGATGACTTCTAAAAAAAGGTGGAATATGTTTCACACCTTTTCAGAGATGTTTGCTGTTCTCTTTTATATTTACATGACAGTTGATTTTGACATTTTCCCCCTCAAAAGATCTGTGAGAGGGAGCACGTGTGTGCCACACAGAAGGTCATTGAAAGGGAGGCCTACTGTTACTAGCTCTGTAGGAAATGAGCATGGAGATAGATCTTAATAACATTCAAGGATTCTATTTTCAAGATTTTATAATTTATAAGTACTGACTGTGTTCATATTAGATGAATGACTGAATCAATAAACAGAGGGATAAAGGACTGAAGGAAAAGATTGAAGAGCTCGGACCAGTGAACACTCCTAGGGTGGGGGCTGGATCGCGATCAATCCAACATTGTAATTAATTCCTGACTCAAAATCTGTGGCCCACTGAAAAAAGGCATAAGGTAAATGCTTTGGGGAGTGAACTCATGAATGAATAAAGAAACATGTAAATGAATGAGGAATAGGAGGACCACACGTTAGTGTTTGTTTGGAACGCTGGGTTCTGTAGAGAAATAGTTCAAAGCTCTTAACCCTTCCATGAGGACGGTATAGACAGAGATACCTAAGAATTCAGGTTGATGCTTCCATTGCTTAGTTGATTGTTTTAATTAGGAAAGGGAGAAAAATAGTTTACATGAATAGCTGCTTAAAGCTGCTTAAGTAACTGCTTTTTTGAGACAGGGCCAAATGTGAATCAATATTGAGAATGTGTCATATGATCAGCGTTATGATTGTTTTAAACTGAGTTTTATGTGTTAAAAAATCAAGAGAGAATTTAGTCAGTTAAGTCCATGGGCCATGACCATTAAGCAGAGTATTTTTCAGTGCTCCTGTTTGTTCACTGTCTCAGTTTTCACTGATGCTGATATGAAGTTATAAGGGAATGAAGGAATGTGTTTAACATTTTTAATTTTCAAAAGAAGCCCAAGGAAGGGCCAATGAGGAACATGTGTTATGAACCAAAGATAACAATTACTCCTGATACACCTAAATGTTGTCCAGATAAAGAAAGAGAACTCGAGACTCCTCCCACTGGCTGAAGTACACAGAAAAATTTACATGGAGGAATTCTTTAGAAAGATGAGTAAATGCTTAACTTACTTTATGCCTAATTATACACATGAATAAATAAATGAATCACTAGACATATAAATCAGGAAAATTTGTGCAAATTGGTGAGCATATGCTGCAAAACAAAAATTTATATTTCTCCAATTTTGCACAAGTTGAGATCCATTAAAAACAATAAACAAGCTATTAAATGTATGGATAGAGAATAAATAGACACATATTTATGATAGATAAGAGTTCTTATTCTCATGTTGGTTTTCATTATATTATTTAAAAATAAAAATTAAATGAGTTAATAAATAAGGAGGGCCATCCTTGGGCAGTAATGAGATTATTAAATGACCCACGTTTACAATTAATCTAATACTGCAAGACTAACTTCCATTAAAAATGTCTTACTCTAGGCTCTTTCTTTTGAAAGTCTGCATTTTCACCAAATGAACATACTACATGTCATCTAATCATTATCAAATGCTAAAGATCCTGGCGTTTACAAACTCTGTGGGTAAGGAGAGAAATGAGTGGTGTAAGTAACAGAGTTTATATTCTTGGGGTTGGGAGGTTGGTTGATGGATGTTGCTTAAATTTTTCAAAGTAGCAAATGGGTATATTAATAAAGAAAACGAAATAACACCACCGCGGACCAGAAGTGGGATTTACGATTAATTTGATTTAGCACTCCTAAAGTCCAATAAAGAAAAAGATGCAGGTGTTTCTTCATTTCTAGAGCTTCACATTGTGTTTTATGTTTGCATTGCAATTCATTTAAGTACTCTTCCATTAATAAAGATTTAGGCTATTAAATTTTTGAGGGAGGAGCACATAAGAAGATGGACAAAATTTTTGGTGTTTCAGTTGTGGAGTAAGTTGTGGGCACCTTGGTTATTCATTGCATCATCTTTAAAACTAAAAAAATTTTTTTTTTAATTTTTGGGAGAAGTAATTAGGTTTATTTATATATTTGTAGATGACAGTACTGGGGATTGAACCAGGACCTCATGCATAGTGAGCACATACTCTAACACTGAGCTATACCCTTCCCCTTCATTGATAGTCTTCAAATGAAAAAGGGTCAGGCATGGACCACTGGAACTGATACGAAGCAAGGATGCTGATTAATTTATATGTGCAAAAAGCACATACATATTGCAAAAAAAGTCCTTGTCTATTAGCACTGTGGGAAATGGGCATATAGACAGTTACTAGTGATATTCAAGGATGTTGTTCTTGGGCTTTTGGATTCATGAAAATTGATTGTATTATTATTATCATGAGTGAATCAAGGAATAAAGCAATTAAACAAAACCTAAATAAAGGAAGAAGATGCTCAGTATTGACCAATGCTAAGTATTCTGAGATGTAGGAATCAAAGATTTTGATTAAGCTTTGTAACTTCGAGATTCATTAGGAAAAAAAAATCTATTTACTTCCTTTGTGGAAGAAGGGCTTACAGCAAAAGTCAGTAGTCAAAGATGTGATCCTTGAGCTTCAGTTCTTAATGTCTGTAAAATGTATCTTAAGTGAAGCAATGCAAGAATAAAGAAGCATAAATGAATGGTGACCAATGATGCAAATTTGCAGTGAAACAAGGATTATTATTAAATGCATTATTTCCTGAAGCACAGAGTGTCATAACTGAAATAGATCAAGTCTCTCTTAACTGTTTTCCATGGAGGAAAAACTGATTCTGTCCCAGGAGATTGCATGTTGTTGTTTTGGATTTGTGTCTAGTAGTTGGTTGTTGATTTATTTAGAAAAGGAACTAATCATTTAAATTAAAAATAATTGTTTAAGTCCCTAATTGGAAAAAGGTCAAGCATGGACTAATACCGAGACTACGATAGAGTGTATGATTGAATCAATTCTGTTCACTGACTTTTATTTGTAAAACAAAAAAGGATCTAACAGGTTATATCTGTGGACAGTGAGCATATGGACACATTTGTATTTGTCAGTGTTCTTGTCCAGGGCCTTGGCTTGCATTCATTTTGGATGTATTGTTAAAAGTTAATGAGTGAGTGAGTGAGGGAAGGTATAGCTCAGTGGTAGAGCACATGCTTAGCATGCACGAGGCCCTGAGTTCAATCCCCAGTGCCTGCATTAAAAATAAATAAATTAAAAAGCTGATTACCTCCTCCCCTCCAAAAGAAATAATCAATAAAATCTTTAAAAAAATTTAATAAATGAGTGAGTTCATATTTTGGTCAATTATTTAAAAGAAGGTAGAACATGGGTTGGTGAGGAGCAGGTGTCACGAAACAATGATTCCATATTTTAGATGGAAATAAAAGAAATCTAGACTTACCCCACTTTGGACAAAGTGCGTATCAGCCGTTGCATGAAATGGTATTTCAGTTTGGATACTGGTAGGTTTTACTCTTTTTCTTTAAAATATGAATAAATGATCAAATTATTCTTAGAGTAGGTCAATGCAAGATAAACATGAGTGAGTCACTAAGTGTATAAATTAGGGTAAATCTTGGACCAATATTTCATGTTACACTCTAAGCAATGCATGAATATGGTCCCTTAAAAAAAGTGAGGCTGTGAACTGTGTGGTTGGGGAGTTTATAGATATAGTAGTACTAGTTACATTAACTATTTTTATGTTAGGTGGTAGATTTAACAGCATTCGCTACATTACTTAAAAATTAAGCAGTAAACAAGTGACTACATAAAAGGTCAACAATGAGAATGTGATTGTAACCAAGGTTTATGATTAATCTAGTACCTCATGACTCAAGTTCATTAAAAAGTTAAATTTATGCTGTTCCTAACTTTATAAAATGTGCATTTTACTTCACAGAACGAAAGCATTATAGCTGATTTAATTAATTAACAGTAATAGAGATTTTAGTCTTTACCTCTGTTGGTAAGAGCCTAGAGAACGTGGTTGATAAGAGTCAAAATTCATGTCCTTGGTGAAGGTGATTTGTTCATCATCACATTATGTCAGAGGAATAAGTAATAAATACATAAATAAAAATCAAAGGATGCCATGCAGGGACACCAATAATGGTAATTAACCAAATTATACAATTAATCCAATTATGGGCAACTGAAGTTCATTAAAAAGATGGAGGGCTTTTATTCATCTTCAGAGTTTTTAATATTATACTTTATTTTGTCCCATGGTTAAATTAAACCTTTCCTCAGTGATAAAGATCTAGGTCATAACTCCTTGAACGGGGAGTAGGTAGGAAGAGAGATGATAATATTGATGTCCTCATTGTGAGAGATGATGGTGGTTTGTTGATCATTGTATTGTATTAGTTATTTATTGCTGTGTAACAGATTACCCTACAGCTTAGTGGCTTAAAGCAACAATAAATATTTGTTCCTATCACAGTTTCAATGGGCAGGAACCCAGGAGAGGCTGGGAGGGCAGTTTTGGCTTAGAGTCTCTTGTGAGGTTTCCGTCAAGATGCCAGGTAAAGTTGCAGTCATGTGAAGGCTTGGGCTGGAGGCTGTTGCCACGGCTCCCTCCCATGGCAAGGAAGTTGGTGCTCGTTGCTGGGAGGCCAGAATTTCTCCCTACACGGACCCCTCCTCAGAACTGCCCGAGTATGCTTACAGCATGACAGCTGACTTCCTCTAGAGCAATCAGTCCGAGAGAGAAGGGTTTTTAATACAAACCTCAGTGTATTTATCACTTAGACTCAGAAGTCATTCATCATCGCTTCCTCTGTGTTCTACTGATCATAGAGGCCAGACATGATTTAATTGGGGTGGAGACTACACAGCCATGAATACCAGGAGTCATGGATCAATGGGTGCCATCTTGGAGGCTAGCTACCACATGGACAGTCTTTAAAACATGCAAAAATTAAATAAAAGAAGGGCAAGCACGGACAAAGTATAAATATGGGATTGATGTAAAGCAAGGGAACTGATAACCTATATGTGTAAATCTCAGATCTGCTGCCAAAAAGATGTTGTCTCTTACAGTTTTATGGAAACACGAACCTATAAATACAGCTTAGTAATATTCTAAGGTGTTTTTAGGTTTTCTGATTTTTATATATTGACTTTATTGTTGTGAATGACTTAATGATAAAATCAGTAAACAAAGGTATGCATGAATGGAGAAGGTGCCAAGTTTGAACCAGTGAGTATCTGTGGTGTCTGAAAGAATGATTTTGATTAAACCCTATAACTCTTGAGACCTAGTTAATGCCTACTTAGTAAATTCACTTACAGTAAGAAGTTAGTAATAGTCAGGATTTTGTGTTTAGACTATTAAGTTCCATTGATTTGGATTGTATTACTGTAAGTGAATTAGTAATTGAATAAATAAATAAATATATATATTATATTTATATATATATATAAATGAAGACAAGGACAGCCCTGTGTGGCCCAATTATGAGAGTGTGTAATGTCTTTATTATTATTAATACATTTCTGAAGCGCTCGATTCCAACATGAACTGATCAAGTCTAATACCTATTTGGTAGTTGCAAATAGAGATAAGCACCTGGAAATCAGTGTTGTTCTGCACGATTTGGGAAGTGCTGGTTGCTTATTGAAAATGAGAAAACATGATCTAGTTGGTTATGCCTGGGAGTAACGAGCATATGAACAGCTCTTAATACCATTCACGTTTCTGATCCAGTTTTTTTGTTCATGGGTATTGATGATATTAGGAGTGAATGTGTAAAGACATCCATCTTTCAACCAATTATTTTGAAGACAGTAAAGCAAGATTTCTCAACCTTGCACTGTTGATATTTGGGGCTGGATAATTCATCGTTGTGGGAGACTGTCCTGTATATTGTAGGATGTTTAGTAACTTCACTGACTTCTACTAACCAGATGCCAACATTGACCTCTCTCTCCCAGGTGTGACAATCAGAAATATCTCAACATTGGCAAATGTCCTCTGGGGGCAGTACTGCCCCCATTGGGAACCATGGTGGGTAAAGCCAGGAGAAACATGTAATAAAAAAACAACGTGACTCATTTGTCCTGTTGCATCTTACTGATACTCAAAGAAACAAACAAACTGGGCTCTTCCCACTTTAGCTCAGGTTCATGTGTATGGTTGCTATAATTGTGTCACAATTTGAGTTGTTGGTGGCTCAGTCACATTATGTTTACTCTGGAAAAACAGATACTCATTTTACTCATGAGTACAAAAGTAAGTGAATAAATAAAACAATGAATGAATAAATCAATACATGAAGGAGGGGCTAGCATGGACTGTTGTGAAAATGCGCCATGAAAAAGTATTTAAATTCATCCAATCCTGCACATGTGACATCTGTTTTTAGGGAGAATGTTGTGGATGTTTACCACGCTGGGAGAGAGGGCATTGAGGGCTACTTGTAATAGTTGTTTTATCTTCTTGAGTTGAGTGTTAGGTAAGTCAGTAAGTAATGTGCTAGGCCATTCTTGGGCCATTGGTTAAGATGTGGTGTGAATCAAAGTTTATGACTGATCTGATACAGGTTTACTAATATTCCTTAAAATATCTTAATGTAAACTCAGATTCTTTTTAAAAATATGCTTTATTTGACACAGTGGATCAGCTACACTTGACTTAATTATTCTCGATTGGTGCAAATCTTGGCTGTCCTTTCTGTGGGTAAAAAGTCTTGAAACAGATCTAAGTAATAATCAAAGTTCATGTTCTTGATTTGGGGGCTTTGTTCATGTTTATTTTAGAGAAGTAAATAAAAAACACCATGCATTGACCAACGATAGAAGTGTAGTATGAAAAAAAAACCCCCGAAATTAGGTAACTCCAGTTCAACACTAGTTTGGCTGTTAAAGGAAATAAGATGGAGGACATTTTCGTCACTTTCAGAGTTAATGACTCTTCCACTTTAGTTTTTGCACCACAGCTAATTTAGATTTCCTGAAGTGAGCTAGGCTGTTGACTCTTTAACAGGAGCACGTAAGAAGATGGTTAATATTGTCAGGGTTCCTGGTGTGGGATAAGATGTTGGGTTCATGGTCATTTGTTGCACCATATTTAAACTAGGGACAGATTAAATGAAAAGGAGTAAGCATGGATCAGCGACAAGTACAGGATTTCTAAGAAGCAAGGAAGTTAATGAGTCCCTGTGTGTGACACTGAGATTCATTTGTTGACCTTAGCAATTTCAAGGTTCTTAATTTTGGAATTTTTGTGTGTTGATTTTGTTATTGTTAGTGAATCAATGAATGAACCAATAAATAAAGCTGCAGATGAATGAATAATAAGAGTGCCAAGCATAGACCAATGATGAGTATCCTGGGGTGTCTGAATCTGGAATTTTGATTAAGCCTTATAGCTCTGAGATCTATTAGAAAAAGAAAATTACCCTATTATCTCTGTGGGAAGTGATCGTATAGCAGAAGTGAGGAAGTGTCAGTTCTTGTTCTTGGTCTGTTGAGATTCTTGAGTATAGATTATATTTTAAGTAAATCAGTGTGTGAATAAAATACGTAAATGAATGAAGACAAGGAAGGCCTTGAATGGGCCAATTATGAGAGTATATAATTAAATAAGGAACAAGATAATACAATTTGGAAGTGCTGAGTTAATATAAATAGATCAAGGCTGATAAAATTAAACAGATCGAGTCTCAACACTTTTTGGGTGAGGAACATAAAACACAACTGTATGTAAGAGTCAATGTTGTAGTTGATGGGGAGCAGATTTTTTTTTTTGAAGATGTTCCTCCTTTTCTTCAAGTCTGTATCTTTGGGGGGCAGTTTTAGGTTCATGGCAAAATTAAGTGGATCATACAGAGATTTCCCGTAATCCCCCTGGCTCTACACACATACATCCTCCATCCCACACTAGAGAGGTACATTTATTATAACTGATAACTCTTCACTGACGCATCATTATCACCCAAAGTTGACATCAGGGTTCACTCTTGGTTGTAAATTCAGTGGCTTTGGACACGTGTGTAATGACATATATCCACCATTATTGTATCATACAGGATATTTTACTGCCCTAAAATCCTGTCCCGTCCCCTCTCTTCCCTCTAACCTCTGGCAGCCTCTCCATTTACTGTCACTCTAGTTTTGCCTTTTTCAGAATCTAATAGGGTTGTAATTATACAATATGTGGCCATTTCGTATTGTCTTTTTTTTTTTAACTTAGTTATATATTTAAAGTTCCTCATGCCCTTTCATGGCTTTGATAGCTCATTTCTTTTTGTGCTGAATAATCTTCCATTGTTTGGATGTAACCCAGTTCATTTATCCATTCACCTATTGAAAGATGTCTTAATTGCTTCCAAGTTTTCACAATTATGAATAAAGCAGCTGTAAACATCCATGTGCAGGTTTTTGTACGGATGTAAGTTTTCAGCTCCTTTGGGTAAATACCAAGGAGTGCAATTTCTGTATCATATGGTAAGAATAGGTTTAGTTTTGTAAGAAGCTGCCTAACACCTATTCTAAAAGGTGTGTAGTGGTATTTCATTGTTTTAATTTGCATTTCCCTCATGACACATGATGTGAGCATCTTTTCATATGCTTATTTGCCATCTGTGTATTTTTGGTGAGGCGTCTGTTAAGGTCTTTGACTCATTTTTTAATCAAGTTATTTTCTTAATGTTGATTTTAAGGAGTCTTTGTTTTGGATAACAGTCATTTATCAGACATGTCTTTTGCAAGTACTTTTTTTCTTAGTCTGTGCATTATATTTTGTTCTCTGGAAAATTTCTTTGCATCCATGTTCATCTTTCCCGCTTTTTGATTTTTGTAATTTGAGTACCCGAAGTCTACTCTCTTAGCAAATTTCCCGCATACAGTATGATATTATTAACAACAGTTACCATGTTGTACATTAGATTTCAAGAACTTATCCATCTTACATAACAAAAATTTTGTACTTTTGACCAACATTTTTCTATTTCCTCTCCCTCCCTGCTCCCGGTAACCACTTTCCTAGTCTCTGCTTCTGTGAATTCAACTTTTTTTAGATTCCACATGTGAGATCAGCATTTTTCTTTCTCTGTCTGACTTAGTTCACTTAGCATCGTGTCCTCCATGCTGTTGCAAAGGACAAGATCTCCTTTTATAAGTCTGAATAATATTCCACTGTATATATACCACAATTTATTTAGCCATTCACCTGTCAACAAATACTCAGGTCTTCATTTTAAAATTTTTTAGTATTCTTAATTGAGGTATAATCAGTTTACAATGTTGTATCAGTTTCTGGTGTACAGCACAGTGCTTCAGTCATACATGCACATACATGTATTCATTTTCATGTTGTTTTTCACCATAAGCTACTACAAGATGTTGAATATACTTCCCTGTGCTGTACAGTATAAACTTGTTTATCTGTTTTATAAATACCAATCAGTATCTGCAAATCTCAGACTCCCAGTTTATCCCTTCCTGTATGCATTTAATGCTATAAATTTCCCTCTAAGCACTGTTTTTGCTGGTGTTTTTTTTTTGTTTGTTTGTTTGTTTGTTTCTGAAATAGGAAACATTAACGTGAATGGATAATTGATTGTCTCATTGAATGACAAGCAGTTATGGACACATGTGGACAATATTTCATATAAGAAAGATTAGGATTGATTGGGTTGTGTTCGTTAAGTTTTATTAATAAACCAAACATGATCCAATCAGTTATGGCTGTGACTAGGACACATGTTTGTATCATTCAGGATTCATTTCTACTGTCTTTGCACTCACAGGTATTGTTGTATTATAACTGAGTGAATGTGTAAAATCCCATCTTTGTTCTTTAAAATAAGGGAAAGTGCAGATCATTGGAGACCATGTTTTATGAGACAATGAAAATTATTAATTTGAGTTTTTGCTAATGATGTTTATAGAAAGAAAAAATTCCTACTCTATTCTCATTTTTGATAAGGGACATATAGTTCACTGTGTATAATAGTATTTCTGTTCTGTGTTACTGGCTGGTTTACCATTTTGACTTTTTTCATATGAGTAATTAAGTGAACAAGTGAATATATAAATGAACATGTGAAATAGAATCAAGCGTGAGTCATTACTGAGACTGGAAAAAGGGTTTTTTTTTATAGGATTATGCATGCTCTTCTTTTTTAATTAAAGAGTTGTTGATGTATAATACATGAATTACATATGTACAATATAATGAACCACAGTTCTTGAAGGTTATACTCCATTTATAGTTATTATAAATTACTTGCTATATTCCCCACGTCATACAACATATCCTTGTAGTTTGTACCTCTTAATCCCCTCCCCCACATTGCCCCTCCCCCTTTCCTCTTCCCACTGGTAACCACCAGTTTGTTCTCTGTATTTGTGTCTTCTTTTTTGTTATAGTCACTAGTTTGTTGTATTTTGCAGATTCCACATATAAATGATATGCAGTCTTTATCTTTCTTTCTGACTTATTTCACTTAGTATAATGCCCTTCATATCCATTCATGTTGCTGCACATGGCAAAATTTCATTCTTTTTAATGGCTGAGTAGTATTCCATTGTGTATCTGTGTGTGTGTGTGTGTGTGTGTATCACATCTTTTTTATCTGTTCATCTGTTGATGGATATTTCAGTTGCTTCCATATCTTGGCTATTGTAAATAATGCTGCTGTGACCACTGGGGTGCACGGATCTTTTTGAATTTCAGTCATTGTGGTTTTGATTTGCATTTCCCTGATAATTAGTGATGTTGAGCACCTTTTCATGTTCCTGTTGGCCATCTGCATTTCCTCTTTGGAAAAATGCCGATTTAGTTCTTCTGCCCAGTTTTTAATCAGGTTGTTTGCTTTTTTGATGTTGAGTTGTATAAGGTGTTTATGTATGTTGGATATTAACCCTTTATTGGATTTAAGTGTAGCCTAATAAGGATTTAAATCTATCCAATTCTGCAAAAGTAGCATCCATTAAAATTATCTTTTATTCTGTTAAAACTGTTAAAATATAAAGATACTTTGATAAATATCATTCTTATGTGGTGGATTCAACATTGGCTATTACATTATCTAAAAGTAAAAGTAAAATACTGGATTAATTAAAAAGGACCAATGTTTATAGCTACCTATTTCCACATAATTAACATATGTTTAAAATCGAGTTTAATTCTCCCTTTTCCTCTGCAGAATTACCACAGGACAGCACACTTATTCATTTTCTAAGAAAAAAAACCTTGGCAGTTAGCTCTGTGGGTTAAAAACATAAGACAAATACGTAAGTAAGCCTTGAAGTCCCCATCCTTGGTTAGGATGACTTGCTCACAAGTATTTAGTAGTATTTCAGAAGAATCAATGTGTATAAAGGAAATAATTATACAAAATATGGACCAATGATGGGAATATGTTATAAATCAAAAATTGTGCTTAATCTATTTCAGCACAACTGACATGATTAAAAAAAGATGGCAGTCATTCCATTCATTTTTAGGACTATTTAATGTTGTGTTTTATTTTCCACTGCAAATGACTTAAACATTTCCAAATTGGTTTAATACTGGCTGATAACTGTTTGTGCGGCAGCCCACAGCATATGTTAGAGAAGTGACTAAAGATGGTGGTTTTAACACTTTTCATTGAACCATCTTTAAAACGTGGGCAAATTAAATGAAAGAAAGCCACAGAAGGACCAGTGGTGAATGTGGATTGGGTATGACATTTGGATGTTAACTAATCACACATGTTCTCTGAGGTCCATTATAAAAGGAGACCTTGTTCCTGGAATTTTAGGATTGTATTGTTATTCATGGGTCAATTAATAAGTAAATGAATAAAGGTACAAAGGAAGAAAAACGTGTCTGGATCGATGATGAGTACCATGGGGTATCTGAAGGAGTTTTGATGAAACTCATACGGAATTCTGAGGTCCATTACAGAGACACGTAGTAAAATTATTCCCTCTGGGAAATGAGTGCATGGTTCCTTGCACTTTTGTGGTTGCTGGGGATGGCCTGTATCTTTATTATACATTTGACCCATAAGTAAATAAAGTGTTTCAATGAATGAAGGAAAGAGAGTAAGTCATGTACCTGTTATTAGGGAATGTAATGAAACATGGATTATTCATATCTAACTGAGACTCTGACTCCCAATAAATTAATAGTAGAGGATTTTACTCCTTTGGAGTGGAGTGTATGGTCATTTGTATGTAACAGTCAGTTTTTGTTCCGTGTTGGTGGTGGGCTGCTGACGGGTTGTTGTTAAGGAAATGGAAATACATTTACTCATGCAAATAGTTGTTTAAATCACCACATAACTGAGAGCCAAACAGAGACCAAGGATGAGAATGTTTTCTATGACACTTCTAATGGAGCCAATCTTTTTTTCACTGATTTTTTTAGTAGAACAAAAAAGAAGCAAGTCTTTTATTCTCAATAGCAATGACTGTTGATTGACATAAATTTTGTTCAGTGTTTTTGTCTCGTGGATAAGATCACAGGTACTGATATGTTTGTATAAGGGAAAGAAAGTATACTTTTATGTCTCAGTATGTTTTTAAAAAGTCAGCAAACCGCAGACGAATTGGAAACACATGTTTTGATACGAGGCTACTGATTCATCTTGTTTTCCGAGGCAGATGTTTGAGGAAAAATTCTAATCTCTTTTATTTTTGAAAGTTACACCTGAACCTTCCCAAGTTCCAGTAATTTGGTTCTGGTTTGATGTTTAACCATTTTGAGTTGTCTTTAGAAAAGTGAGGAAATGGTATTATTATTTCTTCAATAATAAAAATAAATCAGTAAGTGAATGAATCCACAAATCCATACAGTGGAGGATTGATGAGACCGTACCATGAAAGAAACATGTCTAATTCTGCACAAATAAGTCCCGTAAGACGAAGACCTTGGCTCTCTCTATGTGGGTAGCAAGTAAACTCAGATGTCTCAGATAATAGTTTTTTTTATTTTGTTTTGGGCAGTGAATTCAATGGTATTCATATTATTTAATAGTAAAATTTAAGTAAATAAATAAGAGTGCCATTCTTAGGAAAATGATGAGAATGTGATGTGGGGTAGGATTTATGGTTAATCTAGTCTTCCTGACAAATTTTAGTTCTAAAAAGCTAACTATCTTTATTCTTTTGAATAATAGACCTTTTTTTTTTCCTTTAGAGAATGAACACCCCACAGCTGATTTAATCATTCTTTACTGGTGAAGACCCTGGCTATTATGTCTGGGACTAAGGAGCTTTATAAAGACTGAAGTAAGGAAATATCACTGTTGGTGTCTAAGCTTAGACAGGGGTTATGCAAGGAAGCCCACTGGATTATTTTGATACAATTGTTAAATAATATATGAAATTCAGTAATGCCAATTATGAGCCCATGATTGAAATGTGTCATGAACTAAAACTTATGATTAATTCAACTCAGCCCAGCTAGAGACCTTCCTAAAGTGATGGAGGCATTTTGCGTATTTTCAGAGCGGTTTACCTTCCTGTTTAGTACTCTAGCCACCTTTGCTTAATACGTTTCTTCACTGATAGAGATCTCAGTTGTTGACTCTTGGAGACTTTGGAAGATGGCAGATGTCATTTTTGTCAATTGTGGGCTAAGATGATAGGTCTATGGTGGTCGATTACACCAGCTTTAAAAAAGGACAAGTCAAGTGAAAGAGGAGCCGGTGAACACCGATCACAAGTAAGGGGTTGATGTGAAGCAAGTGCACTGATTAATCCTACGTGTAAAACAGAGCTTCATGGTGAAAGGTGATTGAGTCTGTTGGCTCTGTGTGAACAGGGGCAATGAACAGATCTTGGTTGTATTTGAGGCTTTTGTTCTCAGTTTTGTGTCACCAAAGGTTGTCAGTTGTAGAATTGTTTCCCGTGAATCCATGCATGAATAAATCATTTCAAGGAGGCATAAATGGGTAAAGAAATAGAAAGCCATGCCTGGATTAGATGAGTATTGGTGGAGGTATCTTAGTAACTTTGATGAAGCCCTCTTAACTCTGAGGTCCATTATGGAAAAGAGAACCAGTCAGTAGCCTGTCGAAATTAGTAGTAGAGGTCGGGAAAATTCAATACACTTGCTCCTAGGCTTCTGTGGTTCATGGATGTGGATGGTATTATTTCAGTTGAATCAATGCATGAATAAAGAAAGAAATATGTATCTGGAGAACTGAGAGACCTACTCATGAACAATTAGTAGAGTGCAATAAAAGTAGTATTTTAAGTTGAAATATAGTCAGTTTACAATGTTATGTTAATTTCTGGTGTACAGCATAGTGATTCAGTTATACATACATACATATACATGTATGTACATTCCTTTTCATAGTCTTTTTTATTATAGGCTATCAGAAGCTATTGAATATAGTTCCCTGTGCTGTACAGGAAGACCTTGCTGTTTATCTATCTTATATATAGTGGTTAGTGTCTGGAAATCCCAAACTCCTAATTTATGCCTCCCTCTTCCCCCACCATGTCCCCCTGGTAACCACAATTTTGTTTTCTATGTGAGTTTGTTTTTGTTTTGTAAATAAGTTCGTTTGTGTCGTTCAGAATCAGTGTTAGTATTAATACAGTCCTGAGGTAAAAATGAGCAGGTTTAGTCTGCAGCCCTCTTTCACATGGAGCATAATAGTATCGCTGGTCAAAGAGGCAACGTTTTGAGTTTTTGTGGTTTGCTGTTTTTTTTTTTTTAATTAAGAGAAGGAAAAGTGTTTGCCTCAGTCAGTAATCCATTAAATAACCATGTACTTAGTAGCCGTTTATAGAGGTGGAACTTGTAATCGTTATGAGCCCTAGTCTTCTGCCAGCTGGTAGGCTTACTTGTGTTTCTTACATTATTTATAACTCAGAATTCAATACTACATTAGTAACAACTTACATTTTTGAGACAAAGTTTATTGTTTTTTTAGTTCTGCCTGGCTAACAGCTATTAAAAAATCGAAATCTAGTCTAAATCTGCTTTTTTCCTCCCCAGAGTGAACACAGGACAGCTGATTTAATCACTTAATAAAGAATTGTTATCGTGACCAAGCAGCATAAAGACTAACAAAAGTAAGTCCCTTGGTTCACATTCTTTGTTTGAAGAGTTTATTCATGAGTATTGGCTGAAGAATTTCAAAGTAATAATTGTGTACTGCATACATGGAATATATGAGACACTTCAAGCAGGGACCAATGATGGGAATGTGTTATAAAGTAAGAATTATGTTTAATCTAAATCTGCACAACTCAGGTAATTTTAAAAGAGGATAGAAGTTACTTAATTTATTCTCAGAGCAGTTTAATATTCTTCTGTATTTTCTACCATGGTTGATTTAACTATCGGCCTATGGGTAGAGGGGCTGATAGCTCTTGGGGGCAGCCCAGAGGTGATTGCAAATGGTGGTTTCATTATCTTTCATTGAGCCATCTCTGACATATAGATGAATTAAATAGAAGAGGACCACCCAGGAAGCAGTGCTGAATGTGGGTTGGATACAAAGCAGGGGTATTAACCCATCCACATGTGCAGCTTTGTGTTCCATTACAAAAGAAATCTCTCTAATTAGCTCTATAGGACAAGAGCTTAAATTTCAAGGATCTTGTTTTTGGAATTTTGTGCTTGTATTATTATTATTTGTGAATCAGAAAATTAATCAATAAGTGAAAAGAAAATTTCCCAGCATAGACCAGTGATGAATGTTATGGGGTTTCTGAAACAAGAATTTTGATTAAACCTATCTGCAAATCTGAAGTCCATAACAAAGAGACATCTCATTATTCTCTTTGTGGGAAATGAGCCTACAGTGCCTTATTCTCAGGCTTTTGTGGTTTGGGGTACCAATTGCATTATTATCATAAAATTAGCCTAGGAATAAAGAAATATATCAATGAATAAAGCATAAGAGAGATGTATGTGCAATATTTTCTAAGGCAGGGAATGAAGTACGGATAATTATTAAAACAATTTTGAGATTCTTAGTCCCAATAAATGAATAGTCAAGGCTCTCATCACTCTTGCAAGGAACATATGGTCATCCGCACACAGACTCGATGTTTTTGTTTTGTGCTGAGGCGGTTTGCCAATCGATCATTTTATTAAGGAAAGAGAAATACATTTACATAAATAGTTGATTGAATAAACTCTGTAATTGAGAGGGAGAGCATGGAACAATGATGAGACTCTTTTATACAACCACATTTGTGATTAATTCAGTCTTTTTATGCAAGTGTATGTAAGCAAACAAACATTAAAGGAATCAGTTTGCTATTCTTTTAGGTAATGACATGAGAACGAATATAAATATTATTCAAGGTACTTATCCCATGTGAGTGAATCACATGTATTGGAGCATAATTATAAGGGAACAAATGTATACATTTATATCTCAATCAGTTTTTCTAAAAAGTCAGTCAAAAATGTATCGATGGGAAGCATGCAATTGGATGTAAAGATCATGATTCATCATGTTTTACACAATTGGTATTCATGAGATGATAGAGTTCGAGGCCTTTCCAGTGCTGCACATAGATAATAGTGTTTCATCTCTGTTTTGGTGGTTGCTTAAACTTTTTGGAATTATTTTTAGAAAAACAAAGGGATGGTCTTATTATCCGATAAGTAATAGATAAAACAATTAGTAAGTGAATTAACGAATACAGTGAGTAGTGCCAGACTTAGACCATTGGTCAGATTGTGCCATCAGTTGAATCCCCCATGTATCCAATTCCACACAAATGTTCAACGAAAAAGACGATTTGGGCTCTTAACCTTTGTGGGTAGTAAATAGAGTGACATATTCCTAATAATTATAATTTTTTCTGTTAGCTGCTAGACTCAGTGGTGTTCATTATATTATTTAAAATTTAAAAGAAATTGCACAAGTTCTCTCTGTCTTTCCAGATGTTGAGAATAGGATGCAAACCAGGGATTATGACTACCTGATTATTGATTATTTAAAATGGCTAAATGTAGATTGCTTCTTGTTCGAATTTGCTTCTTGCTCCCCAGAATGAACACACTCTACCAGATTTGATTATTAGCTCATGATGAAGAGCTTGACTTTTACCTCTTTGGATGAAGAGAGAAGAGATCAATGTAAGTGATCATCAAAGTTCATGTTCTCGCTTCGAGGCTTGGTCATGGGTATTCACTGAGATGTTTGGAAGGAATAAATGACTGCCTACATAAGTAATTCAAAGGTGGTCATGCATTGGCCAATGATTAAAAGGGGTTAAGAATTCCCAATTATGATTAATCCATTTTAGCATGACTGAATTTATTAGGGCAAAAATGATCAAAGGCATTTCAGTCATTTGCAGTGAATTTTAATATTTCATTTAATTTTTGTACCACAGTGGATCTGAACACACTTCTATTGATATTGTTATAGTCTGAGCTTATGAGGAGGAGAGTGTAAGAAATTGGAAAATTTTACCTTTTTCTTAGTTGTGATATAAAATGGATGTTCGTTGTACTATCTTTAAAACATGGATATTAAATAGAAGCAGCCAAAGCGTGGATGAATGACTAACATGGAATAGATATGATGCAAGGAAATGGATTAATTCGTATCTGCCATGCTGAGGTGCATTGCACAAAGAGAGCTACTTCTCTAGCTCTGTAGGCAGTGAACTTCCACAGACAGAGTCATATCTTCAAGGATCTTGGTTTTATTTTCCAAATTCATGGACATGGACTGTGTTATTGTTAATGAATCAATGAATAAGTCAGGAACAACATATTAGACAAAGGCACAGAGTACCAAGTCTGGATCGATGATGAGTATGCGTGGGGCATCTGAATAATATTTTGATTAAACCCAGTCTGTAACTCTGAGGTCCATCACGTCTTTGGGAAATGTGCTTACAGAGGAAGTCAGGAATATTCAAGCATTGTGTTCTTGACCTTTTGTTGTTCATGAATATGGATTGTATTATTATAAGTAAATCAATGCATGAATAAATAAAGTATACATAAAGAGGATGGCTACACCTTATCCAGTTATGAAAGGAGCTAATGAACCAAGACTTATTATTAATACATTTCTGAAATTTGGAGTTCAAATAAAATCAACTAAGGCTGCTCCTCCTTTAGGAGCATGTGGGCAGATATATATGAGCATCAATGTCATTCTCGGTTGGTGGCGAGTTTCTGGTTGTATGTCTTATTTTAAGAATATTTATATAATTGCATAATAATACGTAATATAATTAATATATTCTGTAACAATATAATACACCATGATAAACACATTAGCATGAATATTTTAATATATAGTAATTTGATATAATCAACAATGAAAAATAAAATACAAATGATTGGATAGTTGAAACATAGAAAAAGCCTCAGCATGAGTATTGTGAATGTAATAATTATGAATCCACTTGTGTTTATTTTTATCTTGAAAAAGCAAATGCGTTTTATTTATGATTTTTGTGAGTAATAAGTAAATGGATAGATTTAGTGTCTCTCAGCATTTTTATCAAGTGCCCTTAGGGCTCATCAATATTGGTACTATTATTATAAATGACTAAAAAAGTAATTTCATATCTCAATCTATTATTTAGATGAGTATAAACCATTGGCCAGTGAGGAGCACATGAAGTATCTGAAGTGTGATTAGTCCTGTTTTACTCCCTTGACGTCCACTTCAGTGCAAAGGCCCAGGCCCCCGCTTCTTTCGGGGAGGATCATGCAGACTCCACTCTCTAAACATGTCCTGCTATCACATTCAAATAGTTAAAAATAAAATTTAGTTCCTTGGTAACACTAGCCATATTTCAAGCCATATGTTGCCACTGGCTACCATTTTGGGCAGTGCCAATAGAGAATATTTCCATCACTGCAGAAAATTCCATTAGTGAGGAAAGCTGCCTGCAATAGTATTTAGTAGTGAGTAGCAGATGGCTCAATCGTTTTGTAGTTTCTTCAGAAAAAAAAAGAGTAGGTAATTAAATTGTCCTTAGAGTTACTAAGTAAATGAGTAAATAAATTAATAAACGCATGAGTTAAAATATACAATATGGCCCACTGGTCAGATTGTCTTGTGAAACAAGAATTTAAATTCATCACATTTGGCACAAGTTTCCCCAATTAAAAAATTATCTGGTCTTTTGCTATTTGGTAGCAATATGTAGACAAATATTAATAATAGTTATATTTCTTCTTACATTGCATGATTAATTAAAAAGTCTTCATATAAAAGATAGAATGGTCTTCATTATTTTATTTGACACTAAAAATTAAGTCAATAGATGAAAAGGATACCACTGTTGAATTGATGATGAAAATGGGACGCAAACTGATGCTTATGATTAATCTAGTAATGTGAAACTAGCTTCTATTTTTAGAAATTCTAAATTTACACTTTTCATTCTTTTGAAAATCTGTCTCTTACTTCTGAATGAACACTCCACATTGGATTCAGTCATCGTCCAATGATGAAGATCTTGGCTGTTACTTCTATGAGTCAGGAGCAATGTGAGTACCAAAGTTAATTTTCTTGGTTTGTATGGTTTATTTATGTGTGATCACTGAGGTAGTTCACTAGAACAAAAGGCTATATATATAAACACAAAACCCGAGAACATTAAATATGGACCAATACTCTTGTGGGTCAAGGAGTAGAACTAGCATATTTCAGCACATCTCAGATTCATTAAAAAAAAAAGATGGAAGGCATTTAATTAACTTTCAGAACTGTTTGCTATTCCTTGTTACTTCCGCACCACAGTTGGTTTAAGCATTTCTATATTGGTAGAAATCCAGGCTGTTAACGGGTTTAGAGGAAGCTCTTAAAAGGTGGAACATATTGTGTGAATTTGAGATGTAGGATCCCAGTGTGGTGTTTAGACATTCACTACGCCATGTGTAAACTTGGACAAATTAAATGAATATGGCCCAATCATGGGTCATCTTTTGTGTTGATATTGATACCCAGCCAGGTTACACTTAGATCTAGTCTGAAAGCTCCTTCAGAATTCAGTCTGGAGACAGATAGCCTAATTATATTAAGGATCCTGTTCTGGGGAATATGTGATTCATGGGAAAATGAAGGTATAAATTAATGAAGAAAAAGAATGCCAAGCCTGGACCAATGATGAGATTGGAGGGTGTCTGAATCAATGAGGTCTGTAACAATGAGGTCCATCGTTAAAAAGTGGCCTCCTTTTTTTTCTTTATGGAAATCAGTTTACAGCAGAAGTTCAGAATATTCAGGTATCTTGATCACAGGCCTACACACTTCAGAGGTACAGATTGATTTTATAAGTAAATCAAAGCATGAATAAATGTAAAAATGGCTAAATATAAAGAAAGCTTGGCATAGACCAATTGTGAGAGTGTGTAATGAAACATAGATTACTATACGTTTCTATAGCACTGAATTCCAGCACAATATACTCACAAAGGCTGTTGCCCCTTTTTGGAAGGAGTGTGTAGACAGATGTGTGTAAGATTCAGTACTGTTTGATGTAGGTACTTGTTTGCTGGTGGTTATTTTTATTTAGAGAAGGGACAAATTACATAAATAAATTCTAATTAAATAATTATTTAATTGAAAAATGAATAAGCGTAGTTCATCTTGAGAATTTGCTGTATGAAAAGTTATTATTAATCTAACATTGTTCACTGAATTTTATTAAAAACAATACAAAGCAGGGGAGAGGGTGTAGCTCAGTGGTAGAGCACATGCTTAGCATGCACGAGGTCCTGGTTCAATCCCCAGTACCTCCATTGAAAATAAATAAACCTAATTACCTCCCCTCATCAAAAAATAACAAAATAATATAATAATAAATAACATATTGAACAATAAAAAACATCTGGTTCTTAAATCTCTGTGGATAATGTAATAGACATATGGAGACAATAAATATCATTCAAGTTGCCGTCTTATGTTATGTAATTCCCAGATATTGATGTATTTTACATATGAATAGATAAGTCCTAATCACAGTCAATAGTTTAAAAGAGGGCAGGGGAGGGAGGGTATAGCTCAAGCGGTAGAGCTCATGCTTAGCATGCACGAGGTCGTGGGTTCAATCCCCAGCACCTCCTTCAAATATGAATAAATAAACCCAATTACCTACGCCCCCATAAAGAAAAAAGAGAGAGAGAAAAAAAGTAAATATATATACTGTGTTAGATATTCTTTAAAATAAATAAAATAAAAGGGGGCATAAGAAGCAGGAATAATGACTGATCTTCATAGTACTGATCCTCTCTTCCTACGTTAGGTGTAACCATATAAATGCTTGGGCACCCAGGGCATTTCTAATCCGGGTTGTTCGTGGGTTTATCATTGTGTGTGTGTGTGTGTATTTGAATGTACGAGCAAATAATCCATGAATAATGCCATAAATGAATAAATAAAATAATGAACAATTGAATTAATATATGAGTAGAGTCAGGCTTAGACTTTGGTGATACTATGCTATGAATCACAAATTTTAATTTCATCAGTTTCTATATAAATTGAGTCCCTTAAAAATTATTATCTAGGCTCTTGCCTATGTGAGTAGGGGGTCTATAGGCAGATATGAGCAATAGTCTTAGTTCTTATTTTTGAGTGATGAACTCAACAGTGTTCATTGTATTATTGAAAATTAATTGATAAGTCAAGTGATAAAAAGAAGTGTTTTCTTGGGTCAGTGATGAAAGTGAGACCTGAATCAAATTCATGCTTAACCTAGTACCACAAGACTACTGTCCTTTAAAGCAGTCTAAATTTGGACTGTTCGTCCTTTTGAATATTGGCATTTGACTCCACAGAATGAAGACTGTGGCTGATTTAATGTCTGTTCTGAGGAAGATCTTGGCTGTTACCTTTGTGGGTAAGGATCCTAATGACAAAAGCAAAAAAAAAAAAAATGTCAGAAGATCTTGTCAAAAGATCTTGGGCTTAAAAAAAAAAAGATCTTGGGCTTAATTTCTCATTAGTGTTCATTGAATAGTTTAGATGAGGCCATCCATAGACCAATGATATGAATGTGTCAGGAATCAAAGATTATGGTAATACAATTCAGTATAATTGTGTTAAAAATAAGACAGAAGACATTTTATTCATTTTCAAGGCTGATTCATAATCCCCCTTATTTTTGCTCGGCCTTTGATTTACACATTTATCTGGTACTACAATCTAGGGCTCCGCTGCCCATGTGGTTGCCCCAGTCATGTTTGGCCATTTAAATTTAAAATAATGAACGTTAACGGAGTTTTAAATTCAGTTCCTCAGTTGCCCTAGCCACATTTCAGGGACTTCGTAGCTACCTGTGGCGGGTGGCCGTTGTGCTGGAGAGTGTGGTCACAGCACATTCGCATCATCGTGCACAGCCCTGTGCGACAGCTCCTCGCCCGTAGGAAGATGGAAGAGAGTTGCATTGTGATCCATGCATTGATCCATGCATTCTCTCTGAGGGCCACTGCAAAAGGAGATCTCATCTACTGAGAGAAGGTCTAGTTTATGGAAAAGAGCTTATAGACAGATCTTGATCATATCCAAGGATCTTGTTCTTGTTTTTTTTTTTTAACTCATGGATATTGATGTTATTACTGTTAGTGGGTGAATGAATGGATCACTAAACAAAAGTATCAGTGGACGAAAAGATCGCTTAGCCTGGATCGATGATGAGTACCCTGGGGTGTCTGAAATCGAGGACTGTGATTAAACCCTGTAACTCTGAGGTCCATTACAAAGAGATTCCCCCCTCTTTTTAGATCTCTGGGAAATGAGCTTGTTTTAGAACTTAAAAGTATTCAAGGGTTTGTTTTTTGGCTTGGGTTTCTGAGTATTGTGTTTTCAGTAAATCAATGCATGAATAAATCAAAACATAAATAAATAAAGACAAAATGGTTAATTCTTCATCCAAAAATGGGGGAATGTAATGTAATATATGAAATATAAAAATCGTTATTAATACATTTCTGGAGCACTGAGTTCCAGTAAAATAAATTGATTAAAGCTGACCCTTCTGGGTAAAGAGCATTTAGATAAATGGATATAAAAGCTCATGTTGTTTTTCTGGGTCGGGTTGTTGGTTTTTGTTTTATTAAGAGAAGGGCAAAACATTTACTTAAACTAATTGTTGATTAAATAACTACATAATTGAGAGAGGGTGTGTACATGGACCTGTACTGAGAATGTGTCACAGGACCAGTTATGATTAATCTAATGATCTTCACTATTTTTTAATTAAAAAAACAAGAAAAACTGTCTGATCTTTTTTCCTGTGCCCAGTGAGCACATGGGCAGGCATTAATATTGTCATATTTCTGTGGAGTCACAAATATTAATATTATAAACGAATAAAAGAATAAGTTAGTGTTTTAATTAGTTACTTGAAAGAAAGCAAAGCACGAACCAATGAGGACCACGTGTTTCTGAAACAAGGAACATGATTGCTCTCCAGATAAAAGAAACAGAGATAGGTTCTTAAGTTTTGGAATGGTTAATATATTTAGATAGGATTTCTCTTACCGGCTTGTTGGTGCAATTTCCTTAAAAAAATAGAAGAGAAAATGACTCCATGTATAACTATATACATACATACATATATAAAGATGGAAGAAACATGGCTAATTGCTTGAGAATGTGTTCGAATCTAAGATTCAGATTAACCCAATTCTTTCCAAGCAAGATTCATTTAGAAAGAAACTATAGCTCTTTCCTGACTGGGTAGGGGGCAGATAAACAGATACGTGTAATAGTCATGTTCTTATTTTTTTGTCTAGTGTTGGTTTCAAAGATTTTCATTGTATTAATTAAATTTAATACTGGATTCAATCAGTCAATCAATCTGCCATTCAGAGTTTTAATATACAATAGGCACTAAGGTTTGTTCCTAATCATTACTTGAACTCAACGAGAAAAAATCTGAATGTAGGCTGTCCTGTCCACCTACATATCTATCTATCTATCTATCTAATCTAATCTGTCTGTTAATATTTGCTTTGTACTCTACAGAATGGATGCACAATGATTTAATTAAGAACTGTTGAAAGTTATGTAAGTAACAGTCAAAGTAATTGCTTCTGGTTTGGTGGTTTGTCATGGGTGTTAACTCCATTATTGAAGGGGAATAAATGACTACATATACAAATTAAATTCATAGAGGTCATGTGTGGACCAATTCAACACATCTGTGGTCAATTAAGGAGAAAAAAGACCATTTTATTTGTTTTGACAGTTAATTATTCAATTAATCAATCAATTAATTAATGTACAATGTGTTATTCAGTTTTAGTTTTGAGTCACAGTTGATTTAAACCTCCGTCTATAAAGACATGGTTTTCTTTATGAGGACCAATCCTGGACCAATGATGAAGACTGGTGGAGTATGAGTCATGGATGATGAATACTTGTCTGGAACTCTGAGGTCCAACCCAGTAAGAAATCTAGTCTACACCATCTGTTAGAAATTGTCCTATGGACAGATGTTAGGAATATTCAAGAATATATTGTTAGTTTTTGTGTTTATGGAATTTGATTCTATTATTGTAGGTGGATCAGTGAAAAATTAATCAATCAGTATAGGTGATCCTTGAACAATGGTAACCCCATGTAGTCAAAAATCCTTGTACTCCTATCTCTGCCCAAAAAACAAAGGAACTGACTAATGACTCACCCAAGGGCAGGAAGTTGATACCAGTTTGGATAGAATCAGGACACAAGCCCTGGTTCTTTTGATTCCACATGATGTGGTCTCTATTCGAACACAAACTTTTTTCCACACTTCGTTAATTTAAGGATCCTTAAAATGGAAATACAGGTACTATATTTATTGAAAAAAATTTGTGTATAAATGGACCCTTGTAGTTCAAACCCATGTTGTTCAGGGGTCAACTGTATATGAATAAAGAGGGTGAAGCATTGCCCAATTATGAAAATATATTACTAGAAATGCTCTTGATGCATATTAAAAATGCCAACGTCCATTAAGAAATAAATGCCTTAAAGGTATTACCTCTTTGGCTAAGGATGTTATGTACACTATAAATAATGGCCCATGCTTTTGTTTGGTCAATGTCTAGTTCAATATTGTTTGTTTTCTCAAGAAAAAGAGTAACAAAATTTAATACATACTAATATGACTAATAAAATGAAAGGAGGAAAGCAAGGATAAATGGAAAGAATATTTCAACCTTTTTATCATTTGTTCTGCTTTTCACCCTCAGAATGGGTGTTCCCCATCGATTTAAGTATCTTCTAGAGTCATGTGCTCTCTGGTTGCCTCTGCGTGTTAGGAACATAGGACCGGTGTGAGTAGACTCAAAATCTTCATCTTGATTTCGGTAGTTTTTAAAGGCTATTCACTGTATTGTTAAAGAATCTAGGAAGATCAACCATGGCCCAGCAATAAATGTGACAATGCCATGAACATTATGTTGATTCATCAACATTTGCAAAATTAAGAATGATTAATGAAAGAGGTATAATCATTGTGGTAAATGATTCTATAGATAGCTATTAAGGAACTTAAAGATTGTGTTCTTAAGTGTTTGTGATTTGTAGTCATTTATTTAATTATTAGTGAAATGGATTAATCCATAAACAAATGTAGAAATTAATTTAGAAGAAGAGAGCCAATTCTGGAGCAATGATGACAACTGGTGTCGTATGAGTCATGGATGATGAATTCTCCATGTCTAGAATTCTGAGGTCCAGCATTAAAAAGAAATCTAGCTTATTGCCTCTGTCAGAAATGATCCTAAAGACAGAGTTAGGACTTATTTAGTAAGGATCTTGTTGGGGTCTTTGTGTTTATGGATTTTGATTCCATTATAATAAATAAACCAATAAATGAATCAATGTATAGTTGTAGGTAAATAAAGATGAGTAGGGTGAGGCATCGTCCAATTAGGAAGAAATGTAGTAAGGCAAGAGATAATACTAATCAACACTGAAACACTGAGTCAGTTAAGAAATAACTGGTTCAGGGGTATTCTAGCTAAGATTGTTATAGGTAATATAAGTAATGGTCAATATTCTTGTTCTGGCTTAGTGCAAAGTTCAATTTTGTTTGTTTTCTTAGGAAAAAGTTGTATATTACTCCCAATTAATATGTGAGATAATTCTGAATAATGAAGTGTAGATTCACAAGAATCAGGAGGGAAAATATCTCAATCGCATTATCATCTGCTCTGCTCTTTGTTTTTTAGAATGGGCCCAATCAATCTGATTTAAGCATATGCTTTGGTCAGCAACCTCTGAAATTTCCTGTACATGGAAACCAATGTAATAGTCAATGTTCTCATCTTACTGTGGGTGTTTTTTTTAGGGTACTCTGAAATATTCAAAACATATTCAATATAAGAAAAATACTAACCATGGTTCAGAGATTAAATTGAAAATGCATGAAACATCATGTTGATTAATCTATGTTTGGAATAGTGAGGGTGATTAATGAAAGATGTGTATTCAATTAGGCAATTGTTCTAAAGACAAATGGTAAAGAAACCAAAGGCTCTTGTCTTTGTTCTTTTGTGATTCAGAGATATTTATTTAATTACTATTAGTAAATTGATGAATTAATCACTAAACAGAAGTAGGTGGGGTGAGGAAAAAATGGCCCAAACCTGGACCAGTGATGCCTACTGGTGGCGTATATGATGAATACTATGTGTGTGGAAGCCTCAGGTCCAGCACATAACAAAATCTAGTCTGTTTCCTCCCTTGTAAATCATCCTATGGCTTGATGTTAAGAATATATAAAGATATTGTTCTTCTAATTTGGGATTCATAAATTTCTATATTATCCAAATAAATGGATTAATGATAGAACCAATAAATGAAATATAACTAAATAAAAAGATGAATGAAACCTTATTAACTATGGGTATATGTGGTGAAGCAAGAAATACTATTAATATAAATTGAAGAAACTGATGCATATTATGAAATAAATGGACCAATGTAGTTATCTCTTTTTCTAAAGATTGTATCTTTATACTTATATTTATGCTTATATGTGTATAAATTATGAAAAATAATGAATATCTTTGTGACTGAGTAAATGAAATGAGAAAAACAAGGACCAGTTTAGAGAAGGTCTCAATTTTTCCTGTCATCTCTGCTCTGTACTTCTCAGAATGGACGCACAGTAGTGGATTTAAGCATCTTGCCTGGTCACGTGATCAATGTGAGTAATAATACAGTGAGCAAATTTATGTCTTTGAAAGCTTTTTCTCTCTCTCAGATATTCACCGTATTGTTAAAAGTGTGAAATGTAATTAATATTAGTAATAAGAATTAATCAATGCACTTACGCAGATGAGAAGAAAAAGAGGCCTGCCTATATATGGACCAGTGATGATGACTGATGGCATATGAGTTATAGATGATGAATACTATGTGTCTGAAACTCTGAGGTCCCATAAAAAAGGAAATATAATCGGTTGCCTCCAGTTGATCTGATGTTATAGACAAATATTAGGAAAGTAAAAGGACAGCTTTCTTGGTTTGTCTTTCTGAATTTTGATTTTACTGTTAAAAATGGCTTAAAGAAATAATGTATAAGTATAAATAAGTTAAGAAGAGAGTGAAGCGTGTTCACTCTTCATAAATGTGGTGAGACAATAAAAACTGTTAACACTGATTAAAACATACTGAAGCTCATTAAGAGCTGTAAATGGTTCAAATGTCTAACTTCTGTGGCTGAGAATGATATAGACCATGAGCAACGGTCAAAGTTCTTACTCTATGGTAGTGTCAGGTTTGATGTTGTTAATTTTTTTAGAGAATAATAATAAATATAACTCAAATTTACTATGTTCTCAATGACTGACTAGATGAAGGTGGAGTGTGGGTCAATACAGAGTATCTCAATGTTGTGATTCTCTGCCCTGCTTTGTATGCCCCAGAATGGCTATGCCTGAACCTGTGCAAGCATTTGACTATGATCAGGAGCGCCTGCGTGTGAGAGCATGCAGGCCAATGTGAGTGAGAGAGTCCTCTCTTGGTGTAGGTGGTTTGTAGAGGAAATTCAGTGGAATATTAAAAATTGTTAAAATATGTTCAAAGAAGGCCAAACAGGGATCAATGATAAATATGGAATTGACATGAAAAATGTTGTTGATGAATCAGTATTTGCGGTGATGAGGGTGATTATTGAAATAAGTATATTCAATGAGGCAAAAGATTCTGTAGGCAAAAGTAAAAGATACATAGGGATCTTGTCCTTGAGTTTTTGATTCACAGATAATTTATTTTGTTATTATTAATGAATTAATAAGATAATCAGTAAACAAATGTGGTTGAGAATATAGAGGAAGAGGCTGAACCTTGGACCGATGATGATGACTGATGGCATATGAGTCATATACGATGAATACTATGTGTCTGAAACTCTGAGGTCCAGCAAAAGAATTCTAGTCCATTCACTCTGTTGGAAGTATTCCTATAGACAGATGTCAGGAAAGCATAAGGATCTTGTTTTACTCTTTGTGGCTTATGAATTTTTAAAAATATTATTATAAAAATGTTAGTGGCAGAATAAATAAATCTATAAATGAGTAAAAATAGGAGGGCTATGTATTGTCCATTGGTTAAATAAGTAGTAAAGCGAATATATTTGTTAGAATGGATAATTAAGAGATCGAGTGCATTATACATTTTCAAGTAAGGATGATGTAGACAGTGATAAGTAATAGTTATTGATCTGAGTCTGTTGCAAGGTTGATGTTTGATTTATTAAGGGAAAAAACAAATAAATATTACCATAAATTAATAAATACCTAAATGATTATATCTATGAATGGTGGAAAGTATGGATCATGGATAGAATGTCTCAAACTTTTTATCACCTTCTCTGCTTTGTATGATTCAGAATTGATGCCTCAGCTGATTTTAGCATCCACCATGATCAAGATTGTCATGTTACTTCTGTCAGAAAGAGGCCAAGTGAGTAACGGTCAAGGTTTTCCTCTTAGAGTGGGTCATTTGTTTGAAAGCATTCATTGGATTATTAAAAAGTATTAAACATAATATAAAGTTAACTATAGCCCAATGATAAATATGATATGAAGCCCTATTAATAAACAAAATACAAGTAAATAAAAATGAGGAAGAAGCCTTTTCCACCTATGAATATACATGGTGAGGCAAGAAATACTATTACTATAAACTGAAGAAGCTGATAACATATGAAGAAATGAATGGACCAATGGTGTTATCTCTCTTTCTAAGGATCATATAGGCACTGACACTGAAAAGTAATACTGAGGTTTATTAGCCTTGGTCTGTCTCAAGTAGAGGATGTTAATTTTGTGATATATTTTTGTATCATATATATATATATATATATATATGCTCTGAAAAATTAACAAATATCTGAATAAATGGAAAAATGAAATGACGAAAACAAAGACAAATGGGAAAAGAAAGATTTAAATGTTTAGTTATCTTCTTTGTTTTGTACTTTTCAGAGCTGACACATTCAAGCTGATTGAAGCATTTTCTTGGACTCCTCTGTGTGTTTAGAGCACATAGATGAATGTGAGTAAAGGTTAAAGTTCTTGTAGTTAAGAAGGTTTTTTTTAAGGGTACTCACTGCACCTGTTAAATTTGTAAAATATGATCTAAAACACCGACCATGGAAAATGGTAAATAAAGGATGTGAAGAATTAAGTTTACTAATGTATATATGAAATATTGATGATAATTAATGACAGAGGTTACTTGATCCTATGGACAGATGCAGAGAATACTCATTGTTCTTACTTTTGAGTTTTCGTGAATCATAGAGTTTTAAAGATGAAGATGATTGAATTAAGGAATGTATTAATGAAGTAATATGCATGCGAATGAAGAAAAAGAGGCTCACATATGGACCAATGATGACCGTTGGTGGAGTATGAGTCATGGACGATGACTACTTTGTGTCTGAAACTCTGAGGTCCAATAAGAAAAGAAACACAGTCTGTTGCCTCTGTCTGAAGTGGTCCTATGGACAGATTTTCTGGTCCTCCTTCTAAGGATCATATCATTATATTTATATTTATGCTCATATATGTATATAAATTATTAAAAATAATGAATACTTTTATGACTGAGGAAACAAAAATGTGGCAAAGAAGGACCCATGTAGAAAAAAATCTCAAATTTTTTTTTTTATCACCTGCTCTGCCCTGGATGCCTCAGAATGGACACACGCTAGTGGACTGAACATCTCCAGTCACGTGCTCTATAGACCAATGTGAGTAATACAATGAGCAAATTCATGTCTTCAAGAGCTTTTTTTCCCTCAAGTATTCACTGTGTTGTCAAAGTGTGAAATATAATTAATATCAGTCAGTTAATGAATTAATCAATGGACTCATGCAGATGGAAATGGAGGAAAAGAGGCCTATAGACGGCCCAGTGACGACGACTGATGGCATATGAGGCATGGATGATGAATACTGTGTGTCTGAAACTCTGAGGTCCAATAAAAAGGAAATATAATCTGTCACTTCTAATTGATCTGATGTTATAGGCAAATATTAGAAAAGTAATAAAACAATTTTCTTGGTTTGTCTTTATGGATTTTGATTTTACTATTAAAAAAAAGCTCAAAGAAATAATCAACGTACAAGTATAAATAAGTTAAAATGAAGAGGGTGAAGTGTGTTCACTCTTCATATATGTGGTGAGACAATAAAAACTGACGTTGATTGAAAATACTGAGGTAAATTAAGAAATGTAAATGGTTCAAATGTCTGACCTCGCTGACTGAGAATGATATAAACCAGGAATAACAGTCAACGTTCTTATTTTGTGATAGTGTCAGGGGGGATATTGTTTGATTTATAAAGAAAAAAATTCATAAATATGACCCCAACGTACTGTCTTCCTAAGTGACTGACTACATGAAAGGTGACATGCACATGGTAGTCGAGTGGCTCTCAATCTTGTTGTCGCCTGCTCTGTTTTGTGTTCCTCAGAATGGACGTGTCTGAACTGGTTACGTGTTTGACCACGGTCAGGAGCAATACTGGTTGTCCTGTGTGTAAGTACACGTAGACCATGTAAGTAATTGTCAAATCCTTCCCCTGGTTTGGGTTTAGAGTATTCACTGTAATAATAAAAAATGACATTAAATATATGGAAAGAAGGCTAGTCATGCTCTATGCAGAAATATATAATTGACATGAAGTGTTACGTTGATTAATAGGTATTTGCATCAATGAAGATGATTTAAATGAAAGTATATTCAATGAGTCTAATGATTCTATAGATGGATATTAAGGATCTTGTTCTTGAGTATTTGTGACTCACAGATATTTATTTTATTATTATTATTGTTAGTGAATTGATAAATTGATCAGTAAATAAATATAGATGAGAATGAAGGAAGCGCCTCAACCTAGAGCGATGGTGACTACTGGTGGCCTGTGAGTCACATACAGTGAATACTTGTGCGTCTGGCACTCTGAGGTCCAACACAGGGAACTCTAGCCCATTCCCTTTGTTTAAAGTGGTTCTGTAGAAAGATGTCAGGAATATAGAAAGATCTTGTTCTTGGTATTTGTGTTCATGAGTTTTACAATCTTAACTAAAAGAATAGATGGCAGAATAAATAAAACAATTGTGTAAGTGAAGATGAAGAGACTGAAGTATTGTTTATTCTTAAAATGTATAGCAAAGAAAATAATACTAAGACAAATTGAAATCGATCTTAAATGGAGCAGGTGTGTTATTACATCCTTGACTAAGGATGATACAGAGAATGATAAATAATAGTTTCTGCTCTGAGTCCTTACAACTTTGATGCTTAATGTGTTAAGAAGAAAAATATATAAATATTACTATTAATCAGTAAATACCAGGACTATGTCTATAGAAGGGTGGAAACAGTGAATCAACGGAGAGAATGTCTCAATCTTTTTATCAACTTCTCTGCTGGATTCTGTGCAGAGTGGATCCTCCAAGCTGATTTCCGCGTCTGCTGTGATGGAGGTTGTCATGTTGCCTTTGTGTCATGAATGCGACAATGGCGTATAATGGCAAAATTCTTGTCTTTGTTTGAGACAGTTGTTTAAGGGTTTCACAATATTATTAAAAAGTAATAAATACAATAAAATATGTCTAAGTATAGAAATAATATGAAGTGTGAGCTTGATTAATTGATAATGAAATATGTTGATTAATCAACACTGAAGTTCATTAATCAAAGAGGTGAAGTCTACATAGGAAATGCCTATAGCATTTCAAGATATTCAAATATCTTATTGTCATGTGTTTATTATATTATTATTAATGAGGTAATTTGATTTATTTGGTACAGATGTAGACATGAATGAAGAAAAAGGGGCTCAAACTAGACCAATGGTGACAACTGGTGGCATATGAGTTGTGAACAATGGATACTATGTGTCTGAAACTGTGAGGTCTAAGACAGAACATAACTAGTTGAATCCCTCTGTTGGAAGTGATCCTATAGACAGATGTCAGAAATACACAAAACTCATATTCTTATTTTGAGTCCATAGATTTAGGTTTAGTATTACTAATGGATCAATGATAGAATAAAAGTAAATATATAGAGAATAATGTTAAGCATTTTCCAACTATGAACATATGTGGTGAGACAAGAAATATTACTAATAAAAATGAACTAAGACACTGATGCCTCCTATGGAATAAATGAATCAAGGGTGTTACCTCTTTGGCTAAGAATCGTTTAGACTCTGATAAACAAGAGTCAGTTTTATTTACTAGGTCAGTTTCCAGTTTGAGATTGTTGTCTTTTCTAAGAGAAAAACAACTATGCCATGAAAAATGTATGAGTGCCTAAATGACTGAGTAAATGACAGCTAGAAAGCAGGGATCAATGGTAATAAGGTCTCAATTATCTTCATCATCTGCTCTGCTCTGTACACCTCAGAATGGACACATCTGAGCTGATTTAAGCCTCTTTCATGGGTACAAGCTCTATGGTTGCACCTGTGTGTGTTAGGAGCGTACAGACCAATGTGTGTAATAGCCAAATTCTTGTCTGATTCTAGTGATTTTTTGAAAAAGAATACTCACTGTACCATTGTAAAGTGTGAAATATAATCAGATAAGGCACATGATAGCCCGTGATTATATAACTATGGGATTGAGTGTGTTGATAAGTTCTATATAGGAAAAAACAGGATAATTAAGGAGAAAGATATATTGATCTGAAAATGATCATATATGCAGATTAGGTATATCAAAGCTCTTGGATTTTTGTGAATAATAGGGTTAAAATATTATTATGGAATTAATGAATGAATTAATAGACAATGTAGAAATAATTGAAGATAAGGAGGGACAACAGGATCAATGATGACTGCTGGTGGCCCATGAACTGGATAGATGAATATGTATCTGCAACTCAGAGGTTCAGAACGGAAGAAATCTTGGTCGTTGTCCTGTGTGAAGTGATTCTATAGACAGATGTCATGAGTATGTAAGAATCACATTTTTGGTTTACATTCATGCATTCTCTAGTTTTATAATTGGGGCAATGATATAGTCAATAAACAAATACACAAATAAATAAAAGTGAAGGTCATGAAGCAAGTCCAATTATAAAAATGTGTAGTAAGACAAGAAATACCATTTATGTATATTAAAAATACACCAATCTGTTAGGAAACAAATGGTGCAAGGGTGTTACCTCTGGCTAAGGATTTTATAGGCAGTGTCAGTTAACAGGCAGTGTTCATATTCTGTGCCAGTGGCAGGGTTGTTACTGTGTGTTTACTTGGGAGAAGTTAAATAAACATTTTCGCAAATAGCTAATTCTCTAAATGACTGACTAAATCAAAGGTGGAATACAAGGACCAATGGAGATTAGGTCTCAACCTTTTAAAATCATCTGTTCTGCTCTGTACTCCTCAGAATGGACCCAAGCAAACTGACTGAAGAATTCTTCCATGATCACAAGTTCTATGGTTGCATCTGTGCCTTAAAGCATGGAGACCAATGTAAGTAATAGTCAAAGTTCTTGCCTCAGTTTGGGTGGTTTATTTAAGGGTATTTACTGTATTATTGAAAAATGTGAAATATAATCAATGAATACCAACCATGGCCCCGAGATGCCGTTAACACGAAGCATTATGTTTGTCGATCCCAATAGAAACGCTGAGGTTAATTAATGAAAGAGATGGATTGCTGAGGGAAGTAATTCTATAGACTCATGTTAGGGATTAGTCCATGGCAACCTTGGACTAAAGATAAATAGGTAAAATGTTAAAATGAAGCAATTATGTTAACCAATCCGTACATTCAACACCAGGTCGATTAACAAGAGAGAGCTAGACTATTCCGTCTGTGGAAAAGGCTTCTGCATACAGGTGTTAGCGATATTGAAACTACTTTACAATTTCATCAGTATATATTATTAGTGAATTAATGATTATCTCTAAACAAAATTATAATTCAAAAAGGGGGAAGTCTGATGTAATATTTAGGACTGGTGGCGTATGAATTAAGGATGGATAATGCTTATCTGCAACCTACTCTGAGGTCCAAAGCAATAAGAAATCTAGTCTATTCTTTCGATATAAATGATCCTATAAAGAGTTGTGAAGGATATTCAAGGAACTCATTTTTGGGCTTTTCGGTGTCATAGATATTGATTGCTTATTAAAAGTTAATCAGTATAATAATAACTAAACAAATGTATGAATAAATGAAGGAAAAATAGGGCCAAATCCGGAATAATTATAGCATGTGTGATGCAGCAAACGTCATCACCAATCTGTTTCTGAGGAACTGGAGTCCATTAAAAATACAGAGAGGCTTTTGCACTGTAGCATAAGGGACACGGGGGAGCCGACTGTTGTTGTCGATGCTTGTGTTTTGTGTTATCTTTGGGCTGCAGGCATTTTTTAAAATTAATTAAGAAATGGGGGGGGGAAATGTTCACATAATTTAATCAGCTAACTGCATTAAAGAGGGCTGAGCATGAACCAGTGGCAAAAATGTGTCACATGACAAGACCGAAAGAGAAAGAAAAATACCATATGGCATCACCTATATGTGGAATCTAAAATAATAACGTACATGAACTTATTTACAAAACAGAAACAGACTCAGAGACAGAAAACAAACTCGTGGTTACCAGGGGGCCAGGGTGGGGCTATACGGAGGGATAAGTTGGGAGTTCAGGATTTGGCAAATACTAACTACTATGCAAAATAAACAATGAACTGTATTTGTATCTTGTAATAACCTATAATGAAAAAGAATATGAAAAGGAATATATATATCTCAGTGGAACACTATAGTGTACACCAGAAATTAGCACAACATTGTAAAGCAACTATATTTCAATAAAAAAAAGAAAGAACAACAGGGGAGGTAAAAATAAGAAAGCAAGTGTGTCATATGACACGTTGTGATCAAGCCATTGGCTTCACTGTTCCATTGGCAAGAAACATTCCGCAATGTGTATGTCAATCACATCTTCATATTGTATACCTTTTAATACTTACAACTGCATCTCTCAATTATTCCTCAATAAAGTTGGAGAAAAGCATATATTTCCCTGACACTTGGGATAGTGAGGGCCTGGACACAGTTACTTTTAATCAGTGTTCCTATCTTGAGTTGGTATAGAAAGATACTGGTTATAACTTTATAAATTAAGAAATAAGTTAATCACTTAATAAGATAGAAAGGGGACAAGCACCTGGCCAGTGATGAGGATGTGGTGAAGCCTGATTCATTGGTTCTCTGCCCATTGTGTCCCTCTTGAGAAAAAACTCTAGCTCTGGCTAGTTTGATTACAGGGGGTTAGACAGACCTACGCAATAGCCCTTGTCTTCTGGGTTTCTGGGAAGTTAAACAGTTTTTGTTTTGTTTAAAGTACGAATGGTTTGTCAAATTATTTCATAAATTAACAAATATATGAAGGAAAATTAAAGCTATTGATATGTAGGTACAGTTGTAAATAAATTCAGAGAAGACTAAATGTAGGTAATAGGAAGAAGAAACGGTATATAGCAAGTTTTAGAAAGTAATCGATTTCAGCACACTGTTCAAGTTTGAGGAGTTTATACTTTGCTTCACCGCTACTTAGCGTGCCGTCTTAGGGTTGCCCCACAGATTATAAACATTTCTCTGTGGCAAAGATCCACACTATTAATTCAGTGAAGCAACCCACCAGAAAATGTAAGATATTTAGTGTTTGGGTATGGAGTGGAGTGGATGGTGGGCCCATGGTTTTTCTTTCTTCTATTTTTAAAGAACGTAGTCGTTAGGTGAACAGGATTCAGGCAGGGACCCATGACGTGAAAGGAATGCATTCTGAATGTGTGCTGTAATGAATTCATATCTGCATCACTGAAGTTCACTTCAGAAGGAGAGTTGGTATATTCTAGCCGTGGGAATGAGTCTATAGCTAGATTTCAGTAATTTTCAAGAACTTAATTATGGGGCTTAAGTGGATCCTGGGGACTCACTGCATTATTCTAAGGGAATAAATTAAAGAATTAGTGAGATAGATGATAGATAGATAGACAGACAGACAGATAGATAGATAGATAAATAGATGATGGATAGGTAAGAGAGTAAAGCGGGATTAATTAAGACATTCTAGTTCTTGTAACTCTGAAGCACCAATACGTACAGGGTGTCACCTCTCTGGGTTAGGTTAACACAGAGCGCTCTCCAACCTGAGTATCAGACTCACCTGGAGGGCTTGTTAAACTACAAATTCCTGGGCCCACTCTCAGCATTTCTGATTTAGTCAGATTGATGTGGGATCTGCTGATCTGCATTTTGGATACATTCCCAAGTTCTGCTAATGCTGCGTATTAAGAAAGCATTTTGAGAACCAGTGATGTAGTCTAATATATGTAACAATAGTGATTTTTGTTCTGTGTGAGTGGTTTGTTTGTCAGTGGTGAGTTCCAAGTTGCTTATTTTTTTAAAACAAATAACAAATACATTAATTAATAAATATCTAAGAGTCTAAGTCAATGAAAGGGGCAAAGCATGGTTCAGTGGAGAAAATGTCTTATTCTTTTCACATCGTCTTTGTATTCTTCAAAATGCATGCACCTGAGCTGATTTAAACATTCCGAGAAGACCGAGATCTCTAGGTTGCCTCTGTGTTTAGGCATATCTGTTGAAATTGAGTAGATAATGAGCAGAATCAGATAAGGAGAGGCCTGTACTAATGATGAAGAACCGAAGTTTATGATACATTTGTTTACGATTAATGGGATCATTTGGGATGATTTTAAAAACAGGGTGAGTTCATGTCACTCATTGGTATAGCTCTTTAAATTTCTGTTTTAGGTTTTCCCTAAACATTCCTTAATTGAGAAAGATGTAAACTATTTTCATTGTGAGGAGGGAGCACACACAGGAGATGTAAGTACTAGTTAGTGTTTTAATTCTGATGATGGGTTTATATTGTATGTAGAAATAATGTACAAATTATATGAAGAAAAGCCAACCATGGACCAATGATGTAAATGGAATGCATTCTGAACTATAGTTTATGATCAAAACATCTACGATCCACTGAGGTCCATTATTTAAAAAAATAGTTTACACCTGCTCTTATCTTGGTGTGGGTGGCTTGTTTTAGAATATTCATTGTTTTGTTAAATACAATCTAAGTAAAGCTGGCCATGGCCCACTATGGGATTCATATGTGACATATGTTCCTTAATGAATATGTGTAACACTATGATTGATTAATGACAGTATAGTTGCTGAGGGAAAATATTCTATTTACAGATGTTAGAGATACTTGAGTTTCTTGTTCTTGAGTTTTTGTGATTAATTTAAATTTATTTTATTATTATTAGTCAATTAAAAAACTGAAAATCAGCAAGTGTGCAAATGAGTGAGGAAAAAGAGGGTGAATCCTGGAACAATACGGGACGGCTGGTGGGGTATGCATCCCGGGTGATGGATAAGATGTGTCTGGCTCTGAGGCGTTACACAGAAAGAGACCCAGTCTGCTGTCTCTGTTGGAAGTGATCCTCTAAACAGAGTAGGAATGCACAGAGATGCTGTTCTGGGTCTTTTGTGGTTCATGAATTTTGATGGCATTATTACAAAAAAATTATACAATTACTGAAGTAAATAAAGATGAAAATGGTGAAGTATTGTCCAATTATATGAGAGGAGACAAGAAATCCTATTAATTTAGATTGGAAATACAAGTGTCCGTTAAGAAATAATTGGATCAAAGGTATCCCGTCTTTGGCTATCATAGACAGAGATAATAAATAGTCAGTGTTACTGCTCTGGATCAGAGGAGAGTTCCATGTTGCCTTTTTCAGATGAGACAAATAATTATTAACATCAATTAGTAAATATTTTAATGACTAAGAAAATGAAGGTGGAAGCTAGTTAGTGCAGATAATGTCTCAATCTTTTTATCATCTGCTGTGCTGTGTACTCCTTGGGGTGGCTGCTTACTGCTGATCAAGGATCCACCATGATCCTCTTGATCAGAAGGTTTCTGGTTACATCTATACACGGGGACCCATGTGAGTCACAGTTTAATTTCTTGTGTCGAGGCACCTGAGGGTATTCACTGTTCAAAGATTTATGAAATACAGTGATGTAAGGTCAACCCTAGCCTAATAATGAGTAGTAACTATGGCTGGTGTTGGTGTGAAGCATGCTGTTGATTAACTGACTTATTAAACATTGAGATCAAATAGCGAAGGAGATCTAGTATCTGTGAGAAAGAGATCTATATTCATGTGAATTAATTTTGTTATTATTTTGAGTTATTAGAAAATACATGAAGAAAAAGAGGGCAAAACTAGGGCTGATGATGAAGACTGGCGCATATGAGTCACAAACAGTGAATAATAGGTGGCTGATACTCTCCGGTCCAACACAGAAATCTAGCAAATTCACCCTGTTGGAAGCGTTCCTGGAGACATTTTTCAGGAATACACAAGGATCTTTTTCTTGGACTGGTGGCCATAGATTTTTTTTTAACTTTTGTTATAAAAGAACCAATAGCAGAGTAGGGTTGACATTTGATTTATTAAGAGAAAAATAAATAAATGTTACTATTTAATAAATACTTAAATTACTGCATATATGAATGATAGAATGTATGGCTTACTGGCAAGAATGTCTCAGTCCTTTTATTACCTTCTCTGCTTTGTACACTTCTGAATAGATGCTGGAGCTGATTTCAGGTTCTGCCGTCGTCAAAATTGTCCTATTACTTCCGTCAGGAAGGAGACTAAGGTGGGTAGCGGTCAAATACCTTGTCTCGGTTTGGGTCTTCATGTAGGACTAGGCATGGGATCAGCATCAGTAGTGGCAGTGGTACTTCTTAGGGAAGGAGGTAGTCAAGTTCATTTACTTACTTATTTTTTAAGTAAAGGCACTGGGGAATGAACTCAGGACCTGGTGCATGCTAGGCAGGCACTCTACCACCGAGCTATCCTCTCCTCCAAGAGCAGACGTGGTATTATTAAAAATTATTAATTTAATCAAAAGTTAACCATTGTCCAATATAATTATGATGTGAACATTGATCAGTCAACAATGTATAACACTGAGGCTGAATAACAGAAGAGCTACAGTCCACGTGGGAAACGGTTGTACAGACAGGATGTAGGGATAGTCAAGGATCTTGCTCTTCGGTAGTTTTGTGAATCATGTAATTATTTTATTATTATCAAGAATTAATAATTTAATCTATGCAAATACAGACAGGAATGAAGAAAATGAGACTCAAACATGGGCCAGTGATGACAACTGGTGACATGTGTCTTGGATGATGAAAATACATGTCTGAAACTCTGAGATCCAACACACAACATAATTAGTTCAATCCTTCTTTTGGAAATGATCATAGAGACAAATGTCAAAAATATACAAAGGTCATGGTCTTATTTTGGATTCATAGATTTAAATTTATTATTATTAATGGATCATAGCTAGAACCATTAAAGAGAGATAAGTAAAGGAGAAAATGAAGCATTTTCCAATCATGAACATATATGGTAAGGCAAGATAAATTATTAATAAAATTGAAAATATTCATGCTCATTAAGCAATACATGAATAAGCATATTGCCTTTTTGCTTAAAGCGTCATATAGACAATGACAAGTAGAGTCAGCATTACTTTTCTGGGTCTGTCTCAAGTTTAAGGTTTTTTTCTGTTAAGATAAAAATCATTGTACTATATGGAAATTAATGAAAGATTAAATGAGTAAATGAAATGTGGAAAAGAAGGATGAATGCAGATAAAACCTGATTTTTTAAAATCACCTTTTCTGCTTTGCACTCCTTAAATTGAATGCACTCAAGTTGATTTAAGGATTCATCCATGGTCACTAGTTCCCTGGTTGCAGTCATGTGGTAGGATCATGGAGACCATGTGAGTAATGGTCAACGTTTGGTCTTAGTTTTAATGTTTTCTTTAAGGGTATTGACTGTATTATTGTAAACTGTGAAATGTTATCAGTGAAATCCAAATAGCCTGCAATGAAATATAGGATTAATAGAAGCATTATAGGATTAATTGATATAATGAAGGTTGAGAAGAATTACTGGAAGAGGTATTGACATGAGAATGATTCCAAAAATATATTAGAGACTTCTAAGCCCTTTGGTGGTTTCAACAAATAATTGGTTTTAAAATTATAACTACTGAATTGTGAACTGACCAATACATGATGTAGAAATATATGCCAATGAGGAATGATAATGGATCAGTGCTGTACTGGTGGCTTATGAGTCATATACAACGAATACATGTCTGGAACTCTGAGGTACAATGCAAATGCAGTCTAGTCCATTGTCCCCAGTTGAAGTGATCCTGTAGGCAGAGGTCAGGAACAAAGATCTTGGTTTTGGTCATTAACCATGCACTTCTTCTATTTTTATAATTGGATCAATGAAATAATCAATATTTAAATGTGTAAATTAAATAGAAGAGGAATATAAGCCTTGTCCAATTATAAAAAATTAAATGAGTAGGCAAAAATTGCTATAATATGTTAACACATTGACGTATGTTGAAAAGACTGATATCCATTAGGAGAGAAGTGGTGTAAGGATGTCACCTCTTTGGCTCAGGAAGATATAGGAAGTGATCATTGTTACTGACTGAATCAGTCACAACTTAGACATTGGATTTATTAAGGGAAAAAGAAACAGATATTACCGTAACTTAAAAAATCCTTAAGTTTTTTATGGAAATGGAATAGTGGACTGTGTGGATCAATGGAAAGACTCTCGCAAGACTTTTTTTTATCACCTTGTCTGCTTGTTACTCGTCAGAATGTTTGTTCCAGCAACTTCGGCTTCTGCCATGGTCAAGACTTACACGCCGCCTCTGTGGCAGGAAAAAAGCCGAGGGGAACAGTGGTGATGGTTGTTGTCTTGGACTGGGCGATCTGTTGAGTGTACTCATGGTACTATAAAAACTACTAAATGAATCAAAAAGTTATTCATAAGAAATGTGATAAGAATCATTATTTGGATTAATTGATCATGTGCAGAATTGAGGTAGATCAATGGAAGAGACAGAGTCTTAATGGGAAACAATTCTGCAAACTGATGTTAGGGCTATTCAAGAATTTTATTCTTGACATATTTTGCAAATGATGTATTATGTTCATTATCACCAATTAACTAAAGTTTTAATCAATACAAATGTAGAAATGAATGGAAAAAGATTCAATCATGGACGAATGCAGAGGCCTCAACGATGAAAACATGTCTGAAATCCGAGTTCCAATACAGAACATAAGTGGTCTATTCACTCTGTTGAATTATTTCTAAAGAGAGATGTCATGAATATAAAAGGATCATGTTCTTTCATTCATTTCATAGATTTCTTATTAATGGATTTATGATGAAACCATTAATCAAATATAAATAGATATATTAAGGAGAAAAGGGTGAAGCATTGTGCAAAAAAGGGGAACATATTTGGTGAGGGAAATGATATTGTTAATACAAATTGAAAAATCTGATGCTCATTAAATAAATGGAAGAAGGTAACCTCACTGAACAAGGTTATACAGATATGCCTATGTAAGAGGCAGTTTAATTATTCTGCCTCAGATTAAAGATTGAGTTTCTTACTTTAATAAGAGAAAGACAAATGCTCAAGGGAAAAATAAACACCTAATACTGAGTAAAGAAAATGCAGAAAAAGAAGATGGGGGGCAATTAGGTCTCAATTTTCTTAAAAGCTTCTGAAACTGTCTCCTCAAAATGAAGGCCCTAGAGATGGTTTAGCATCTGACCACTGGTGACGTGTGTGTTGTGTACGGTGAATATGTGTCTGGAAGTCTGAGGTCCAGCAGAGCATGAACCCGGGCCATTCTCTGTGCGAGAAGGCATCTTGCAGACAGATGTCAGGCATGAAAGAGGGGCTAATTTTGGGTCTTGGTTTAACCTTTTTTGTCATCTGTTTGGCTTCCTAGCCCTCAGAATGGCCACCCTGGACTTGAATGAAGGAGTCCTCCTGGATCAGCAGCCTAAGGTTCAATCTGCGGTTGAGGAGCCAGCAGACCCGTGTGAGCACAGTCAGTCCTCTGATCTTGGTCTGGGTAGGGCACCCAGGTACATGGACTTCATCTCCAAAGTGCTTGGAGTGTAATGCAAGAAGGCCACTTTTATGCTATTGACAATAAAGAGACAAATAGGAAGCATTCTGTGGAGTACAGCCCAAGGGAGTCAGGGACCAGAGATTTGACATATATATTGATGTGGGAACAGTCCCAGATATGTATTGGGGATGCCAGTGCCTTCTTGGGGTTGGTGAATCATTGAGTTATCCATTCTAGTGAGTGAATCTATGCATTGATCAGTTCAGCGTATGGGACGTGTGAGGAGACCGTGGTCTTTCCTGGATCGATGATGATCCCTACCAGCGTATGAGTCATCGATGATGAATAATACGTGTCTGTGTCTGGAACGCTGAGGTCCAGTCCAAAAGACACGTCTCCTTTCTCTTCATGCCTTTTCATTCTTTCCTGTCGTGAACGAATGAAAGACTCCATCACCAAACACTACGGATCCAAGGAGAGAAAGTCTCAATCTTTCTATCCCCTTGTCTGTTTGGTACTTTGCAGAATCAAAGCTGAAGGTGATGTCATCTTCCACTGTGATCAAGGTTCTAAGGGTCTCTGGGTCAGAGGTCACAGACCAAGGTGAGGAGGGGTGCAAGGGCTTGA